GGAGCACAGGGAGGTGCACTCACCCAGGTGTAGTGGTGCAGCTCCAAGCTGCACGGTTCCAAAGGAGGCTCACTTTGCTTGTGTGACTGAGGGTGCTGCTCCAGCAGGGAGTGAAGGGGCCCCTCCACGCACCAGTGCTTCTGAGGGCATTTCTGTCTGCTGTGTGTCCTCCTGCTCTTCACTACCAATCTTCATGGGGAAACTGTTTTGTCAGTTATAAATGGTACCAGAAACAAGAACTTCAGCTGGAGCTTGTACCATGCAGCTCTGCGCAGCAATGTACTGTAATTAAGAGCTGCTTGGAGTTTGTTCTGTTGTTGTTTTCTTACCCTGTGAAATAGTTTCATCAACAGTCCTTTCTTGCATGAAAATTGCTTCCATCCATTTGTGTCAGCATTCCTTGCACAATTCTGCAAAATCAGATCTTGAATTTGAAGGGTTGCTCAAGTGTTGACTATGCAAAAAGTGGTCTGAACTGCTAGTGCACACAAACATTTTCCGTAACTGGTGGAGAAAATGTCTTAAAATAAAAGCTGATGTTACATTTTTGACATTAACCTCTGCTCCTGGCAGTACTGATTTGTGACTTGTGCTGATATGTGAAGCGTGCTTCATTTTTTAAATTCAGTGTTAAGTACTAATTGAGGTCAAAGCCAATTGATCTCATTTTGGGGGAAATAATCTAAGAATGTTCTAAGTATTTACTTTTGGGATCAGGCTCTGTGAAACAGGTCTGTGTTGATCCCCAGTTCCTCACCATTCTCTGCCAGAAGTCCTTCCATTGTGCCCTTCCTGTTCTCATGCTTTGAATTCCCCAAGCAACAGCCTGCTGCCACCTTCTGCAGCTTGCAGTCCATCAGCTTTTTTTACATTGCTGTACAGTGGGTGGCTGGGTGCTGGTTGTTATTAGCTAACATAGACCAGCAGCTACTGTGCTTACTGTTCCATTCAATACTAACTGAACTCGGGTTCTTGTTTTTATTGAATAATAATACTTGGGAGCAAGATGTCAAGACTGGCTTGGTGTTTTGTGGGCTGCAAACCATCACGGAGCTCAAGGGCTCAGTTGTGTGTATGAACATGTTTTAATGCCTTGTAAGTGAAAAAGATCTCCAACTTTTCATCTTGCTGCATGCAGTTCTGACTGCCCTGGGTGCTGGTTTGTTACTGACCCGTGAAGTTAAATGTTATCTCTGTACACTGAAGTGGGGAGATGGTAGAACTGTTTTGCAGGGACACGTCTTTATTGCTGTATGGGAACTGCTGAGCCACGCCTGAACCTCTGATTGATCACCTGAGGTGAGCACTGAGTCAGCCAGAGGAGCACAGTGAAAGCAATTCAGCTGGGCTGCAGGAAGGGATGGAGCCTGGCTACACCCCTCCTAGACCTATTGAAGAGCTGGCTACCTGTGGGGAGGGATCTCTTCTGGAGATCTGCTCTGCTGAAGTTTTGTAAGTGAGCCCAGGATAGGGGTAAGCTTTCTCTCTATTCTCTTCTTGTTATCAGTCTGCTTTGCCAAACTCTTGTTTATTTTGTAATTATAACATCTTAATATTCATTGATTATACAATTGCACAGAGGAACAGGTTTTGCTTTAGTTACCAGTTAGTCACTGCTGCACTTCCATCTTTTGTTCAAGAGTTTCCACCTCAGTGAAGTCATTACAGTTACCACGCTCTCACTTGACCTCTGCTAATGAAGCTACTGAACATATAAAGCCATGCCTACACAAAATGTTACAGCCAGATGAACTAAGCAGAGTTACTTAACCAGCCTTTACCTTCACAAAACCAGGAACACTTGCTGCCAGAAGGCACTCTTGTAGAGGTGCTGCCTCTGCAACCCTGCAGGAAAAACTCTTTGCCTTTTATGAAGGGAGAATAAAATTTAATTGCTAGAATTAAACACTTACCATTATTTTTCAAAGAAAACACCAGAGACTTTGTAATTTTGAAATATTTTTGTAAGGCATAAAGACCAGATTAATGCAGTATAATATTTTTTAAAATATGTTTATTTTTAAACAGGAATAAACGTGTAGGATTTTAGCATCAACTGCAACTGTACAAAATCTGCAGCCATGGAGAGAGGCAGCATTATATACGTTACTGGGGTCTTGGCAGCAGCTATGGTACATGGCATTCCTCCCCTTCTGTAACAGAAACCTGTCTGTTCTGAAAGGCTTCTCTTCACACATCTCGTTACACGTAGTCTGTGTTAAAATCGTAGGCATCGTCTTCACCCGCTGCCTTGTCTAAGCTGGACGGCAGTGAGCTGGCAAGTCCAGTTTCTGAGAAAAAGGAATGGTTTGTTAGTGACATGAATGCAGTACTGGAGCAGTGCGGGCTGTACTTTGTGCCGTGGGTTTTAGCACAGACCTGCCATCTCATTTTCTGAATGTGCATCTCCTGTTTGTCCTGTTCCAAGCTCAGCACTCCCCGTCAGCCGAGTCCTGCCATCCTGCAATGGGTTGGAGGTCAGACACGAGTTTGCTCAGACATCGCTAATGAAACTTCCCATGTAAATGAAACACAGAGGCTGAGGACAGTGCGGCTGTCCCAGCTGCTGCCCAGGAACGTGCTGACTGACTGGGAGCAACACAGGTTTCTTAATTTGCTGATTTCTCAACTGAGCACAATGCTCAGCTCTTCTTTCTAGAGGAAGCGTGGCTCTAGAGGCAGTGTGTTACCCCAGGTGGCTCTGCAGTGCTTGCACGCTGCTCGTAACAGGATGCTAACTGGCTACTTGGTGTCAGGGCCCGAGCAGGTAGAAAACAAATGAAACCCTGGTTTACCTCCTTGACATTATTCTCTTCTTTTTCTTCTTCTTCTATAATATCTTGATCATCATCAGTCTCCATGAAATCCTCTTCGTCGTGGCTTGTTTCCAAATCCTCCCACTCTGATTCTTCTTCTACCACCTTATTTCGCACTATTTTCCCATTAGTCATGCCAGCTGATTGGAAAACAATGCTGCTTGCTGGACTGGGGTACTTTAAAGCTGAGAAATATATACAGAGCTGTCTGTTACGTTATTGTTAGCAGGAGATACAATGCCTACCCATTAAAATGATCACCTTCCCACATCAGGGAGAAAAAGTGAGAACAAAAAGATTGCTAGGATGAAGAACTTGGTCCTGAGTCTAAGATGTACTGAGCAGAAATACATTTTGTTGGTCTGACTAGGAAATGGGGGAGGGCAAAAGCATGAAAGGGCCCACAAGCAGTGGCTATTTAGAAAGATCAAATCAGATAAGCAGAAACCGAGAACTACTGGCGTAATCCAGCAGGGGTAATTTGCGTGAGGACAGCACCCAAGTCCACTGCTCTGCTGCCCTGGAATGCATTTCATTCTCTGAAGGTTTGTGCCTGCTGCATGCTGACACAGCCATCATACAAACCCCAGGACAACTCCCATTCGTGGTCTCCCATTACAGCTGCTCAGTGGCTCTCAGTGCTGGCAGTGCAGTACCTTGAACCGTGCTGCTGTTTTCTTCTTCCAGCTTCTTTAAATTAAAGCCCCTCTGCAGTTCAGCTATTTTGTCTTCTGTCAGGTATGGCGGCATGATCTGCAGTGCTGGTGGTTCTGAGTGGTAGCTTATTTTAGCTCTGCAAAAACCACACATGGTGACTTAGCTGTTATCTTTTCAGAATAAAACCCAGAGCCCAAACCTCCCAAACTCCTCAGCTCCTCACTCTTGCAGTATTATTTGTTTAGCAGCGGTTAAAGGACCGTTTAAATGGGCCTCGGAAGCTGTCAGTAACAGAACTGAAGATAGCCTGCTCTGAAGCACCTGAACCACTGCAGCAAGTGCAATGATTCTGAATTCATTCATTCCATGCTCAGCTGAACGCAGGGATCACTAAAGGTTCCAAAAAAAGAAACTGTTGCAAGATTCCTTCTTGATGGAAGAGAGCACTACAGGAATTCCACGGAATTTGCTTTTACTCTCTCTCTGTGTATTTTAGTAGTTTAGAAAATTATCCTTGGGTGGTGTCCTCTCTTGGCCAAGCCAGCGTGACTGCTCAAAATCAAAAGCAGCCTCTCCTTTCTGGAAGCAGTTCTCAGGACTCAATGCTTCTGCTACGGAGTCACAGCAGATTTAACAGTGTCAAAATCAAGGAGGTCAGCAGCACAAAACAAAATTAATAGCAGACATACCCTGTCCAGTCACAAAGCAGTGATTTAGCTACGTTCTCTATGTCAGGAACACCTCCTTTTTTCAGCATACCCCTTTTCTGAGCAAGTAAACTTAAAAGCTCTTCAGTGTTCTTGAAATCTGGGATACTGTAGAACATCATTACCTAGTGCAAAAGAAAACAGTGGGAGGAAGCAGTTATCACAGAACTGGAAGGGGATCAGGCTTATGTGAATCTATTTGAAACTAGAGTGAAATCAGAGTTGGATCTGAAGTCTTCACTGTAGTAAGAAGCATTGAAGTTATCTTCATTTTTCACTCTTACATCGCTGCCTGGTGATACAGGCAGTATGGTTCGTTGATGGATTTTTACTTTTTCTTTAAATCAGCAAACTCATTGGGAAAACAAAGTGGCCAACAGGATCCTGGTGCGTTGCAACCACCTTCCACATACAAGGGTAAAAGGTCACATCAGCTCTGGATACGCTAACCAAAGTTTGGTTAAGGAGAAAACAGTGCAGAACAACTGTGTGAAGTGAAACGATCTTCTGTTATCGGCCTAAGAAAGCCAGAGAGGAGTTGAACGCTGTGAAAGGATGACAGGAGTTACCTGCTGCTTATTGCAGTGATTCAGGACTGCATCCACTGCTTCAATCACGTTCAGTGAGCACGATTCCCCGCTGTGTATGATAGTTCTCAGGGCCAGAGTCACAGCACTGTTGGTAGCATCTGCAACTATGCTCGGGCTGTCTGAAATCTTCATGTGTTTATCAATACGCACAACTTGCATGGACCTGGTCAGAGAAACAGGCCACGTCTGAAGGCAAATCAAACTAAGGACCGATAGCAGCAAAGGCAGCAAGCCACAAAGCTCAGCATTGGATTGAATGCACTTCATACAGAATCAGTTTCAGTGCTTTCTCATCACATGCTTTGTGCTGGACAGAAATGCAAGTGTACAGTAAGAGCAAGTTTATGCACTGTATTCTCCTGTGGCAACGTGCCAGGATGAAAGATCACGTTCTGAACGACACAAATTGAAATATGCATTTAAAACTGAACGTAGGCATGCTCTGACTGCTACTGATGGCATGGGAATTGTACACCACCAACTCAAGGTAATCAGAACTGACAGGAAAATAAACAGCTGCTAACACTCAGCTTACTTGGTGACACCTCTGGCTGGTCCAACATCACAAACACGATCTTTTTTAATGCTGTTGATTATGCTGCTCTTCCCCACATTAGGGAAACCTGGGGGAAAAAAAAAAAAAACAACAGAAATCCTCATAAATCTGAAAACTCAGCTTATTTAACAGCTTATCATGTGTTTTTGGTAACATCCTCTGTGTGAGATCAGAGTTGGATCTGAAGTCTTCATATAGAACTCAGACAAAGTCTGTATCCTCATTTCTCACATTGCAATAGAAAGACATCACTGAATGTCACACCACAAACCTCACCAGATGGGAGGAAGAGGCAGCGTAGGCTATGCAGTATGTAACCTAAAGCTGCTTTATCAGTTAAGGCCTCATAAAACGTGCATTCCATGGGTCACAGACACTCTGCATTGAAGTACAAGACAGATCACTACCAGCTGAGGTGCTGAGTCTCAGCTGAAAGTGAGCACCCTGCCAAGAAGGCCCAGAAGCGAGTCACACATTGGGTGTTTTACTCAGGATACCAGAGCTCTGATGGGAGGAAAAGGAAACTTCTGCCATCTCTCCAAACTCTTACCTACTAACCCAACCTGAATGGCTTTGTTCTGAGTCCTGCCATACTCCTGGAGAAGTTTCATAAGGCATCCACTTCCAAAACTTTCCGTGTGTCTTGATAAATCAATACGTGCCCTTCTTCTCCGGAAAGTCTCCTGCTACAGGGTTCAAAGGAAAAGAAACAACAAAACAAACGCGTTAGTCTTACATTTATTCATCTACTGTGACGCTTTAACCTCCTGTGCTTCGTTAGCTGATGTTACTGTGTCCTTCTTCTAAAGAAATGCAATTAGTTCAGTAAGAATTTAGCTAAGGTGAATCTAGCAGTTAAGTGGTGGATAAAAAAGAAGTAGCACTCAAACACTTGAAGCAGCCTGAACAAACCTCCAGGGCTTGTTGTTTCAGTTCAGGCTGTGTTGCAGATGGGCTGTGTGAGCAGGAAGGAACCATGTACGTTCATGGGGTGGAGTTCTTTGATCTGTACATTCACTCAATGAACTGTCCAAGAAAAATTATCTCTTTTTTACATAACTTTAAAGCCGCTCTCTGTGTTTGGGCTTCTGTGGCATTTCACACCAGGGTCTATTTGGCTACACTGTTATCAGAGTTAGGGCAGGTGGAGCAAAATGCATCAATACCCGTTGTTTCAAGCCAGCATATTCACAAAGCTGAGACTGGAACCCCAGGGAGCTTAACTCCTTGATAATCTTCCACGAAATAACAGAAACTGTGGCCTTTAGTAACAGTGAAGTAAGATGAATGCTGCATACTCTGCATCAGTTCACCTACAATCCAATGTGCAACCATCCTGGATAGATAAAAAATTCCTCATCTCCCCCCCCTTGCTGTCCTGCTTAAGCAGAACAGCCCACTTTCACTCCCCAGTTCAGCATCCCACGTACAAAACAATATGTATTTCATCAGCACGTATTCCCCAACTGCACTGTGAAGCTCAATGTGTGACAGAACATCCATTAGTTGAAGCAGTATAATCAAATACAGGAAAAATGAATTTTATAAAGAACAAGAGATCTGCTTCAACATGCTTCAACACATACAATGACGTGTCTGATTCAGTCATCTGAGCCAGCACGCAGAGCTCTTACCATATTCCTGTCCTTCAGCAGCGTCGCTGATTTAAAGGCAACCGTTGGAAATTCCTTCTTCAAATAATTCAACCACTTCTCCAAGTTCTCTTTTGGCACTAAATCTGAAACAAAGAGCACAGACTTCTCCTCACTGTTGTGAATGTTGTGTTGCTGTCTGGAGAAATCTAACACGGAATCAGAAACCAGGATGGATCCCGTCCACTTTGCACATTTCTTCATGACAATTAACGCTTGGCTGAACACTCCACAGCTTCTGTATTTGCTTTTATGTACACTTCCAGTACAGTACAGCCACCCACAGCTGCAGCTTTTAGTGTTTATTCTCTGCCCCAAGCAGAACATCCCACAGTTACATTTTCAGACCCTGTGTTTTTCATGTTGGAGTATCACAAGGAGATGGCAGGTACGAGGGGTGATGTTACGTGGGCTAGTCCATCATCCCTGCAAAAACTATGCTAAGACAAAGTTCCTGTTGTTCTTTCACTCCACACTTCCTTCTTTTTGCACTGCAGTTAACCCACTAACAACCAGCTTTCCCAGCTGATCTCATCCTCTTTTGTGTGGTTTCCCTCATACAGCAACGGGAGCCAAACTTCAAAGACAACCCTTGTGCCGATTTGCTGATGCTTAACTCATCTCAGTGGGTTCAGCATCGCTACCTGCTCACTTCCTCTTTGTTCACATGAATGTTACTAGATCTCCACTTCTGGCTGACACTGGCCAGAAGTCATTGTAAAAGCAAGGGGCCAATGTGCAGCTACCTGTCGTGGTGTTTTCTCAGCAGAGGGAACATGGCCACTTCCCTAAGGCAGCGAGCTCAGAGTTGGATCTTATGACTTCAGCAGAATCTGAGATTTCTTTATGTATTTCTTCACAGCTCACTTAAAACAGAACCACCCAGTGACTACAGTAACACTTCAAGAAAATCTGTTTCTTACCGATTTTGTTCAGCACCAACAACAGCTTTTTGTCTCCTCCAGAGCAAGTAATGGCTTGCTCCAGCTGGGGACACCGGCAGCCCATCGGATCTCTCGCATCTAAAACCTCCAGAATCACATCTGAGGTCTCAATGACCTACGTAAGGGGGGAAAAAAAGATTATAGAGAGTTTTCAAATAAGAGGTGGCAAGTAATTTGACAGATGGTAACTCTGTAATAGCCAAGCTGTAGCCTACAACAGTGACTACTGAATCTTACAGAACGTTTGGTAGGTGAGGTTTCTTAAGGCTGTTTGTTTCAACTCTTATCTACTGAAAGGCAAATTGACAGAAAAAGGTGAAAATTGCTGTAGCTTTCTGAAGTCAAGAAATTCCTGGACAGGAATATGTCATAACTCAAAGAGCTCTCTGACTGGTCGCTATGTACTGACATTGGTCCTAGATGTCTTCAGAACGATCAAAATCTCAGTAGCCAACACCGGGCAAGACTGAAACCCTCATGGTTTTTACAGTAATATCACTTTCTTCAGTGCTGGTTTATCACGAGCAACCTTTACACTTCCTAGTCGTTGGGAATCAACTTTTTACTTGGATAGACAGTGACAGGACAAGGGGGAATGGTTTTAAGCTCAAGGAGGGAAGATTTGGATTGGATGTCAGGGTGAAGTTCTTCACAGAGAGAGTGGTGAGGTGCTGGGACAGCTGCCCTGAGAGGCTGTGGATGCCCCGTCCATCCCTGGAGGTGTTCAAGGCCAGGTTGGATGGGGCAGTCTTGTCTGGTATTAGACAGGGATGGTGGCCCTGCCAGGAGCAGGAAGTTGGAACTTGATGATCTTTGGGGTCACTTCCAACCCAAGCCATTCTATGATTTTAAGTTGTTTCATTGCCTACCTATCATCAAATTACATAAAATCATAAGAAGTTGAAGCTTCTTACTTTCTCAAGCTCACTGTGAAGTGATTTCTTTGCATTTTTATCCAGCGCCTTCTTCGTCTTCTTTGCTTCAGACTTGCCAGAGGATTCCTGCATGCAAATAAAGAAGAAAAGAAATGATTTAACTGAGAATTACTCTATTATATTTGTGCACACAGTCTGAAGACTGCTGTGTTGTCTGAACACAACACGAGACTTGTAGAGGTGTAATTTTAGGATGACATCTTTGCCTCCACAAGCTTCATGTGACAACAATCACACTGGACACCAACCTTTCCATCAGTTTGTTCCTGGATCGCAGCCGCACTCCTCTTGGCATCGAGCTTCCTCCTCTTCTCGAGTTCTTTCTGCCTGTCAAGCTTCTGCTTCCGCTTCAGTTCTTCGAGCTGATCGCAAACAAGCAAGAGCCAACAGAGGTAAAACGCATGTGAGGGAGAGACAGGATGTCACCCTTCTGCCCACAGGGATACTGGTGCAGCTCAGTTACACACACACACACACACACACACACGACTACACATGCGTCAACGCGCACACGCATACATGCATGCACACACATGCACAGACATGCATGCATGCAGATGCACGTACACACACATGCACACGCACACACTTTTGCACTCACACATGTGTACACGCACACGCGTATGCACACCCACACCCACATGTACACACAGACACACACACGTGCACATACTCGCACACACATGTACACACACGTACACAAGTGCACGTACACTTGCACACACACGCACACAGACACAGGCGCTGCCGCCGCTGTTACCCGCTGCTTCCTCAGCTCGGCCTCCCTCAGCAGAGCCTCCTTGAACGGCGCCGATCCGGGCACGCCGGGGTCCTTGCGTGGCTTCTTGCGGCCGCGTTTCTTCGCCTCCCTCCGCACCTTGCGGTGATGCTCCCGGATCTGAGCGCACACACGGGATTGTCGGCAGAGCCTCAGCGGCACCGCGCGGCTTCGCGCACCGCCGCGCCCCCCGGCCCGGCCTCACCTTCTTCTGGATCTTGTACCGCTTGTGGCACGTCAGCCGCTTGCTCGCCTTCCTCAGCTCTACAAAGCAAAGCAAAGCAGAGTAGCGCCCGTAAGCCCCGCTCGGCCGCCTCCCACACCATCCCCCCCAGCCACCCGTTCCCGCGCTCCTCACTCGGTCGCTTCATGGCGCCGCGCACGCGGAGCCGCCCGCCCGCCCCTTCCTCCCGCCGGCGGGCGCTGCCGTAAAGCGAGGCGGCACTTCCTCGCGGAGGTGTCGCGCGGGCCGGGCGCGCTTGGCGGCCGGGCGGGCTTGGTGGCGGCGCGGAGCGGCGGCGCGGGGCGGAAGGCCGCGGCGGGCGCCGAGGGGCGGCGAGGAGCGGCACGGAGAGGCGGCGGCGGCGGGGTGAGCGGCGCTGTGGGCCGGGCGGCGGAGCGGGGCTGGGAGGCCGCGGGTTCCCTTTGTGTGGAGGCGGCTGCGCGGGGCGGGCCGGCGGGCCGCTCTTCCCCACCCCCACCCCTGCCGGCGGCCCGCTCCGCTGTTCTCCGTCCCGCTCCGCGGAGCGAGGCCCTCCGTGCCGGGACCCGGCCGCGCTCGCGGGGTGCGGCGCCGACCGGGAGGAGCGGCCTTCGGAGCGGCCCGACCCGCGCTGCAGGAGGCGCTTCTCCCCGCTGAACGGCCCGCAGCCCGAGCGCCGCAGGAGGAACCCGCTTCCCCGGGTTCGGTTCCGAGCAGAAGTTGCGTGAGCTCAATGGAGGCCGTCGCACTGCCGTCGAGCCGTGCGTTGTACGCAAAGGGGGGAAATCGGAGCTGGAGAGCGCTTGTAAATGGAAGCAGATTCGTCCGTAAAGAAGCTGTGTGGCCGGGCGCGCTGCGCTCCTTCCTGGCGGATAGCAGCCGTTTGCTCGGCAGACGGACGCAATTCTTGCCCGCCAGAGGCTGACCCGTGTCCTGGCCGCGTTCTGGCCGTGCCGATCGCTGCACCGTTGCTGTGCTGCTCTGCATCCACCTTATCTGCTCTGTAGCTCAGACTCTCAGATCAGATGTGCGGTGGTTCGTTGCTGTGCAGGTGGCTGGGAAACCAGCACTGCTTGTTGAGAAACGTCAGAGAAACTGTGACAGAAATGCCTCGTGTTGTGCATGCGGAGCTGCTTTCTGGACTTTCTGCTAAGGTTAAAAAGCAAAAGTTGCCTCCTGTTTGTTGCTTTCTGTCTGCCAACTTGAATTCTTCCATTTATTCTTTGACTTGGATAACCTATCTGCTGTCAGCTCTCTCCTCTCTTTCCTTGTTCTTGTCTTTCAGCTCTGGCTGTACTAACAGCACTGCTGACCTGTTGCTCTGGGTGTCCCCTTCTCCTAGTATCTGTGCTTGCCCACCAGACACTATGAGGAGACTGGCTTTTCGAGGTGCTGGTTGTACTCTGGTAAATCTGGTAAATTATTGATTGTATGTACACCATGCTCTCCGTTCTTCTGCATTAAGGCCTTCCCTTTCTGTTAATTATTCCTACCTCGTTCTTATTCATCTAATTTGCATGCTCAACATTTTGTTGCTAACATAAATGCTCTCGTGCAGTTATGTTGTACTGCCATACCTTGTAACTTTCTAGGAGATCCCTTGATTCGGTACAGGCTGGGATAGATGAATCTGTGCTGTCCTTTGAGTTAGCTACAAATGGAGATGGTGTTACGATGCTGTCATTAGAAACCAGGGAAGAGCCAGCGACTTGGTCCATAAATCCCCATAGTCGTTGGACAGTTGTTATCCATTTGTCACTGTTAAGTTGATAAATTAGAAACTGTGACTGAAACAAGAGTGGATTTTTCTGCTTCTTGATGATTGTGCCGTTCGTCTTACACACACAGTGGGAATTGTGGTCACACGAGGACCCAGCCCTTTTCTGGCTTGAATCTTACACAAGGTATTCAGTAGCAGTTCATGTTTTAGTTGGTCATTTGTCTTCTTTGTGGCATCCTTTTTATTTTGTGTTGGTTTTATAATTCGAGACAGAATGAACTACTTTTCTCCATACAGCTCTTTCCTATAAAATAGCAGTTCTCACGTTGTGATCATTCATAGCTCGAGGAACCAAAACGTGAACGGTTTCAGAATGTGTCCTGGTAAAAGTTGCTGATACATCTTTGTACCTGTAAGCCCTTGGTTTCTGACGTTGGTGTTGGCAGTGTAAACCTGCAGGGCCGTTTTGCCTTCCCTGTACTCCCAGCTCATGTCTGGTGTGGATGTAAGAAACACGTGTGACCCGTTGCAAAACATAGCTCACTTAATAGCTCTCTCTCGTCAGAGGATTTGGTTGCAATGCCAAGAGTTTAAGAACATTTCTCTTCATTATAGAAGAAGTTGGATTCCATGGGTTCCAAGAGGCGAAGAGCAACCTCGCCGTCCAGCAGTGTGAGCGGAGGGGACTTCGATGATGGCCACCACTCCACGAATATCCCAGGCCCCAGCAGGAAGAGAAGGAGGCTTTCAAATCTCCCGACTGTGGATCCTGTTAGTACCTTCTTGTTGTGCACACCTTTCTTTCTCTTGGGTTTACTGTATTCTTGTCTAAGAAATGCTGGATTGTGGGATGGTAGTGCCCCTTACAGCATATGCTCTTGGCTTCCTGCGTATTTGACAATCGTATTTGGCACGTATACACTGAGTTTATTGGGTCCTGAAACTGTTGCTGCCTTGACTAAGCTGTGTTTAGGATCTCATTCACCTTTGGTTTGCTCTCCTCGTTTTTGTTTTTTCCCTTTCCATTTTCCTTTTTGCTGCTGGTTTTTTTTTTGATGATGGTTTTAGCAGATGGAAAGAGACTGGGCAGAGAGAGGGCTGAAGTAATAAAGTGCAGAAATTGAGAGTTGCATCTGAATAGCAAATGCTGGGAGAGATAAGTGGAGAACAGCTCTTCGATACATGCTGAAGCATACGATGTCATTGTTATGCCTTGAGTTAGCAGTCTGATTTTAAATAATTGCAGGGCAAAAGGACCTCTGTCATGGTTTTAAATGTCTGTAACAAAGAGAGTTGTACTGAATTAGCCTGCATTTGGAATGTTCTACCTAGGATTAGTACTGAAAGAAAGTTCACTCTGTTAAATCAGACAATACAAAACAAAAACCAAACAGGCAACCCTAACATTCTGCAGTACTGACCTGCTAGATCATACTAATGCAGGACATGCAGTGTTCTTCACTCTCTTGCTTTGGAGTGCACCGTACGTGAGCAGTTTGCCTTCCCCTTCTTGTTATAAGCAGGTCTTGATTTGTTATCTCCTTAAAATTGACTTGCTTTTTATTGTGTTGTTCTTGAATTTTAGATTGCTGTATGCCATGAACTTTACAACACCATCAGAGATTACAAAGATGAACAGGGCAGGCTCCTTTGTGAGCTTTTCATTAGGGCACCGAAACGAAGGTAAGGCGATGGTTCTTGTCAAGCCTTGGATTTTAAGGAATGCTTCACCATTAAAGAAAGTTGAAATATGGAAAAAAAACCAAATCAGCTATGCTCATCACTGTGTCACAGCAGCGTATGATGATGTGAGTGAGTGTTGTAATTATTCAGTGGGACCTGCTGATGTTGGTACTTGTTTTCAGTAAAGGGAAAAAAAGAAAAGCAACCTTGAATGTATTTGAGATATTTCTTGTGACACCTGTCTAAAACATCTGACCTGAAGATGTTCCTCACCAGTGGTGGAGTGTAATGCTGAGGGTGTGCGTTGGGAGGGTGATAAACTCTTCAAATGGCTCTTGAAAATATAAGTAGAGACTGAATGTACCTTAAACTCAGAAAACAGAGAGTGATAATGGAGCAGGTATTACAGCAAGTTTACTAACAGAACGCTGACCAGATCTTTTACCTGGAACAGTCTTTGTTTCATTTTGTTGTCTCTGTGTCTAAACTTTCTGCTTGAAATACAATGCCTGCCTTTGTCATTACCACAGAAATCAACCAGACTATTATGAAGTGGTTTCACAGCCAATTGATTTAATGAAAATCCAACAGAAGCTGAAGATGGAGGAATATGATGATGTGAATGTGCTGACTGCTGATTTTCAGCTTCTCTTTAACAATGCAAAGGCTTACTACAAGGTGAGGAAAATAGGTACAAAGGCTTGAATTTATCAATGATGGAGATATACTGAGGTTCTTATTTGGTTTGGCAGAAAGCTTTCTTTACTGCAGGTGTTTGTGGATTTTCCCATAATGTTGACCATATCTTTGTGAGATGTCTTGCTATAGTAGCTTTTTTGTGGGGATGCCATAAAATAACATGGAGAGGGTATTTTTTTCATTTTCCAAGAGAGAGAGAAAGCAAAAAAACCCAACAACAACAGAGAAAAAGACTGATCTATTAAAACCTTCCCATTTTATGAGATATCCCATGTGACCTTTTGAAAAGAAACACACTTTTTTTCTCCCTAAAGGAGGAGTTTGTTTTGGAGTTTTGCAGTATGATTGCTGACTTTTTCTCTTCCATTGTCCAGTTACTAAAGTGAAAAAAGGCACACTGATTACTCTGGTTTCTGATGATAGATTGTGAGTGTATGTGATGTGTTCCACCGAGGCTGCAAGCCACGTCTCCATTCCTCCAAACCCAACATGTGTTTTATTTTAGGTATTAATGGATTCTATTGCAGTTGCCTTAAGAAAGGGGGAAAGAAAACTGGAATGATCTCATTTAATGGAAGCATTTTACGTACTAAAAAAGGGACACTGTGTGTTGTGGCTGAGATAGCAAACCTAAAACTTCAGTGCTGATATTAGCTTTGATAAATCTTGGTCTTTGGAAGTTGTCCACTTAATTGCTTTGTAATTCAGACAGGCACTGTAGTCAGGTGACACTCAGGTAAATGGTGCCTGTGTTTGTTTGTGGCTTTCTGAGGAACAACCAGGTTTAAGGATTAACATCTTTCTACGTTGTGGTTACAGTAGAAAAAGCACAGAGACCTGCATATTCGTGGTGTGCTTTAGCAGACACATTCCCCTTAGTGTGGTGGGTTTTTTTGTTTGTTTTCTGTTTTATATGAGGAATAAGGAATGGATGGCAGGAAACAATTACTAGCATTTTCCCAAACGTCAGATGCCTTTGCCTGCACAATATTCAGCTCAGATCTGTGCCCGTATTGTAGCAATCCTGCATGCAGCATAGGAAGCAGATAGCTATCTTACTAGAATGCAGGAATTTTGTCATTACCAGAGAAATACAGAGCCATTAGATGAAGGTATGACACACAAACGTAACTTCATCTTTTTTCATCTTTTACCTTTATTCACATAGTTTAAATTAATTTGATGCAAGGAAGGCTGATTCATTGGCGAGGTGTTGGTGTCAGTAGGTGCTTTATTGGGAGTGCCAGACTGAAATGGAAGCCTTTGCTTGTTCAGTGTTTCTGTTCAAGTAATACTTCTGAGTGTCTTGCTCAGTAATGAGGAAAGGAGCAGACTAGCAGAGCAGGGTATCCCTTATTCTGTCTCACAACCAGCACCTGGTCTGATGTCTTGAGAATATTATGTCTGGTAGGGTAAGCGTAAGAACAGTTATTGTGTTGGTTTCTCAAGCTGTCAGAAGCTGAGAGAGTGAAGAAGAGTGTAATCCACAGAAATAAGACAACGTTTCTGCCCAAGCTCCTGGAATAGTGGTGATGGCAGGGGAAAGGGGAGGAAAAGCACAAAAGAGTGGGAAAGCAGTCCTTTCTTTCTGTCGATTTGCTTTAGGCAGTAATAGGCTGATGGTTGATTGCTGCTCTGTATTTGAAATATTTTTGCTGACTAATGCATTTCTCAAGTTCTTTGGGATTTCACAGTTATTACTGAACAGTGCAAATCATTGCAGTGCTTACTGAGACGTGTGTGCGTTCGTTGGTGTTCTTCTTTGGTAGAATTGAGTTTTCAAGTGTTGTGCAAAGGCAGCAGTGTTGGCTTAAATTACATTTCTGGCATAATGGCATTTATTATGTTTTAAATATTGGCACTGACGTGCTGCAGCAGAGCCTAGAGATCTCCTGAGATTCATCTTGTACTTGTCTGTGCCTCTGCCCAAAGCAGTTTTATTGCCAAGTTTTCAAGAAGGCTGGAATGCTTTGCAGTGACAGAAGTGATATTTTCTAGTTCTTATTACCATTCTTAACACCTCTAAAGAACAGCAGGAATTTCTGATGTTTTGTGTTACTCAATAAGTTTAATACAATTCAGAGACTAATTTATAAGCTCTTTCTAGATGAGAGAATTGTGAATTTTGAGGGTGCTGATGCTGTTTGATTTGTGTGGTTGTTTCTTTCAGCCCGATTCTCCTGAATATAAAGCTGCTTGCAAGTTATGGGAGTTGTATTTGCGCACAAAAAATGAATTTGTTCAAAAAGGAGATGCTGAAGAGGAGGATGAAGATGAGGAAGGACATGACAGTCAAGAACTAGTAAGTGCAGGCGTGACAGCTGCAGCTGGAGGAAGCTATTGCTCTGTGTGGCAGCTGACTGAGCTGAAGCTTGGCCTCCACGTGTGGAAAGGCATCAAGTCTTTTCATTGTTCAGTTATGCCCCTGCAGGTGTTTCCTTGCAGGTTTTGCTTTTGTTTTTAATGCATGTTTATTAGCTGCCAGTTAATTATTTCACAGCACTGTGTACGTGTTCTGCTTCTGTCTAGGAAAAAAAGTTCTGGCATCTCTCTTAGGGACAAAATGCAGTTCTGGGTCAGCTGTGTTCCCGATAGTCTAATGTCCAATGACATTGTTTTCCTGTGTGCATCTTACACAGTTACTGCAACTCTTCCTGGAGCAGTTTTTTAATGCAGATATGACAATAGGAAGCTTGGCTTTGTCTCTTTTTTTTCTTTTTTTAAGACGTTGGGATGCATGATTGCATTAAGGTTGGCAATCAAGTTTCTTCTGACAGGATGTAATGTGTACGTGAGTCTTTAGTGTAAATGTGAAATCAGACTCTCATGTGCTTTACCTGAATGTGTAAAGAATGTTGTTTTTCAAGGCTGCATGCATAGTTGATTTTTTCATTTTTTTTCTGTCTTTGAAAAATAAATGTGTGTATTTCAGTGCAGTTTGAAGCACTCTATTTGGCTGTTGTTGAAACCTCATTTCATTGGTGCAATTTCTCATGTTAGTCATCTCCAGGTTATCTGAAGGAGATTCTTGAACAGCTTCTGGAAGCTGTAGCTGTTGCCACGAATCCATCAGGACGCCTGATAAGTGAACTGTTCCAGAAGCTACCTTCTAAAGTGGTGGGTGTTTCAGTAATAATCATCCTGAATTTGGGATGTGGAAATTTGTATCACTGCCCATGAGCACCATAATGCACAGACTGAGGATGCAGTTTTTTGTTACTGTCTCATCTGTCTTACCTGTCTCCAGCAGTTTTTAGAGCTGCTTTGCTCCTACCCGCTCATTCCCAGGCCTATCATTGCAGGCTGGGGCTTGCTCTGTTCTGCAACTTTAGTTTACTTGGTTGGTTTTGGTTTGTTTTTCTTGGTTGAGACTTAATCTTTTTTTTTGTTTGTTTGTTTTTAATCTGGCTGACTTTACTGTTCTGTTTCAGGTTGTGGTGTAACAGGTTTAACCAGCAAAAGAAGTACTTCGAAAACCATTTTGTGTATTTTGTTTTCAGCCAGAGCTGTTTCTTTATGGCAGTTTATGGATGAGACATAATTGTATGTATCTGCCTTATCATCTGTCTCTCCAAACTGATGCCTGATACTGTAATTATGAAGCTTACGCTATTCTTCATCTACAGTTAATCTTTACTAAGAACTCATAGAATGGTTTAGAAGAGCTTTGTGACTGTTCATGATAACATATCAGTTGTTCTTGTTTTCCAGCAATATCCAGATTATTATGCAATAATAAAGGAGCCCATAGATCTTAAAACTATTGCCCAAAGGATTCAGGTACAATACAAACTTATTAATACACTACAGTTTAGACTTGATTAAAAATAAACATTCTAAAATTGCTGAAGTTAATAAGAAAAGCAGAGTATTTCTGCCCACTACTGAAAACTCAAAATGCTGTAGTTATTTAGTGTTGTGTCCTGGTTTAACACTGCAGTGGTAGCTGTGTTGAAGATCTGGCATCGTAAACCAGAGTATGCTGGCATTGAACCTGAGTATCTTGGGTTCCCTGATGTTTAATGGTTTAAAGTAATTCCTTGGCAAATCTTACAGACATCAAACATTGATCTGTTGAAGCTTGGTTGTGCATTAGCATCACCTGCTTCTGTTCTACTGCTGTAAATAGAGATTTTGTACTGCTTCATTTTTCATCTTGCCTTTCCAGCAATCTGAAATGCTGTTCAGTAATTCTATTATTTATTCTTCTCTATTTTGTGTAATAGTGAAGGACAGCACAAGGTCTAATTGAACTAGAGAGTAAAGCTGAAATCACACCTTGTCAGACCCTTCAACATTAAGATAGTATTGCAGTAGTGTTAAACTTTTTCCAATCTTAGCATTTTAAAGATCAAGAAGACCTTAGTGCTCTTATTTTTTTTCTTAAGTACTCTTCTTCTGTTCTAAAACTGTTCTCTCTAGTCTGTGTTCTCTTTATCTGTTATGAATTCCCTTTGCTTTTGACTTTCCATGCTGTCTGAAGGTTGCCACAAAGCAACTGTTTTACTCTGTTGCAGAATGGAACTTATAAAAGCATTCATGCAATGGCCAAGGATATCGATCTTCTCGCAAAGAATGCCAAAACCTACAATGAGCCTGGATCCCAAGTGTTCAAGGTTAGTTTCAGTCACTCACAGTTAGATCAAAGTTAGGTGCTTCTTTACTGTTTTCTGTGCTGTTGGTCTTTGAACAAATCCTTGGTGTAAGGCCCTAAAAACTGTTTCCATAATAAATAAATCTCTTGTTGGAATTTCCTTATATAATACTATGTATGTAATATATATATGATTTAAATAGTTGTAATATCTTTTTATCCTGAATTACGAGTTTTTCCAACTAAATTTTATATCAAGATGTGAATTACGTGACTTGTTTGGAAGTATGGGGGATCCTTTTATTTGTGCTTGAAATGGGAATGGCTGGGACTGCAGATTAAAATGTTAGTGGCAATGCTCAGCTATCATCCCATTACAGGTATTGGGAACAGACTGCACTTTTCATCATAAGCTTGAGAAGTGGAGCAGTGCCTTCTTTGTATGGTTTTCCAAGGTTCTTTTCCTTTTGGCTGTGTTTTTATGACGCCTCCAATCTTGGTTAGTTTTCAGTTCACCAGCATTTTGTGTGCAAGTTATGATATTACTGTTTCCATGTACTTCTGAAAATAAGGGAATTTCAGTGACAAATAACTGCTTGTATGTTCCTATGAGCTTCGTGGTAGGAGACCTTGCAATGTCTGTGACTTTCCTGTGCCGGTGGTTATGGGACTTTTCCAGTTGCTCTGCTTTCAGGATTGTGGCTTCAGTTACCCAGGCTTGTAACCTGTTCAAATCTTGTGATCTTTGCTTTTTGAACTGTTACTTCAAGTATCAACTCTGTTCCTGAGAGAGAGGGAGAAGGAACATCCTAAAGCTCAGCAATAGCCGTAGCTGAATAATTTCAAAGGCACGGAAACTCATCTGCTTGTGTGATATTCCTGTTTTTTTTTAATTTTTTTAATTTTTTTTTAAACATGTGAGAGAAAATGAGCTCAAGCTACTCAGCTTTTATGTTTCTACAGCCACTGTATGGCCACTGCATGGAGATTTTGTTCTGTACTTCAATACTTAGTCCAAATCATTTAAGCATTTAGAAATGTTTAAAACAAAAATTAACAACATAAAAAACCTAACCAAAACCCGTTTTTGTTCCTGATCCTTGAATGGTTCTACCTGAAAATAACATTCTTTGTTTTCATCCATAAACAAGCACATTCTTTTCATTGACAGGATGCAAATGCAATTAAAAAAATATTTAATATGAAAAAGGCTGAAATTGAGCACAGCGAGCTGGCCAAGTCAAGTCTCCGACTCAGGTACCACAAATAGAGTTCTGTTTGTAAGGCTGTGAAAATCTCTGTAGTTGTTCCCTTAATTTTGCTGTGGGGAATATCCTGGGAAATAATTGCATGAACATTTATTGTTCTTCTGTGGTTTATAACCTTTGGAAAGAGGTGGTTTCTTTTTTGTTTGTTTCTTTTTTCCTACTCAAATGCATCCATGATGAGTATTTCTGTACATGTTTCATGGCTCTCTTAAGCTCTGGCCAACTGCTTCCATGTGTGTTTGTAAGGTAAGAACAGAGGAGAAGCAGTGATGGAAAACGTTGCGTTGTTTTGCTTTGCTGTGCCAAAAGTACTGAGTAGTGTTGCACCTTGTAAGGAGCTGAGAGCTGAGAGCTCACAGTTATCTGGGTAGGGACAGAAATGCAGCAACAAGGCCCGAGGCAACAGATATGTAGAACAGAGGCCATGTTATATGAACTCTTATTTGAAAACCTATTTCTGGCTATGAAAAGAGGCACAAGACACTGAAAATCTGGACTTAAAATCAGAAAGGGATAGTTTTGGTATTTAGGCAGGCAGATATGAAATGCTTTTGACAGCTGTATTTGTTTCACAGAAAGAGCTTAATCAGGAAATACTGCTACCTGAAAAGAAGCTGCTACCTACAAAGAAGTAAAGCAGTCGTAACATGTGTCTCTGATCTAAACTGCAATTGAATTTATTCTTCTCTATATTTTTACTTTTGAGTCACCAGTCACAAGTAAGCTTAAATATTATTTTTCAGTATGAGCTGTGTCATATATATATAAAAAACAAACCACTGTCTTGCAGGTCCTCCAGGGAGTCAGCAAACTCATTCTAGGATGGACCAAGTATTTATATAAGTTGTTTGCTGGCACTCCATGCTGAAAAATAAATGCTGTTCATTCCTTGCAAAGGTCTGTGCTGTACAGCTGAGAACCCCAGCACCCTCTGTTGACTGAGAGGCAGATTCTGTACTGGTGGTTATGTTTTGTTTCTCCCCTGAAAAATATTTAGAAGGTGTTGGCCACAGACTTTACTTTTAATACTGTTATGTCTGAAAGAAATGAAAGTTACCTGCTTGGATATTACTGTTCAGTGCTCAATTACATTGTGGTTTTTCTGATTGAGTCACGCAGAGTTAGCATGCTTCCCATACGTGGGTGAGGTGTCAGCCAGAGCGGTGAGCAAAACACCTCGTGTAAAGGAACAGACAAAAGCAGAAGCATTAAGGAGTAATTCTTGATGCACATTGTAATAATTTTCCTCCAAGTACGTGTGGTGCCAGGAGATCTTGGTTCTACAGACACATCGTTTCCGTGTGTGTTAGCTTGGATGGAACAGGAATTCCATATATGCCCAGAAACTTTTAATATAAGTTGTGATTTTATTTCTTTATTTTGCTACGTTGGGCTGCATTGATGAAGCTCAGGGTGTTGTGGGTGCCCCGTGTGTGGAGGTGTTTTTGTTTCCATCAAGGCCAGCTTGGATGGGGCCCTGGGCAGCTCCATCTGATGCCTGACCGAGTGGCTGGCAGCCCTGCCCGTGGTGGGGCTTGGAGCTAGCTGATCTTTGGGCTCTCTTCTGCCCTGAGCCATTTGTGGTTCTGTGATTCTTTATATCACAAGTTGTATTTAATTTGGAGTCTTACTTTTTTTTCTTCAAACTTAAGCTGTTTGCATCAAAAGGGATGACAGATAAATCACACTGATATTTGTTAGTTGAATTCCTCTCTTGCACTGCCAACCCATTTCTACTCCTAAGGTTCCTGATTCTTTACGTTCTCGTGTATTCTGCTCTCTGTGGATCTGCAAGGCTTGAAGTAGTCTGAATGTCTCATTAATTGACTGCTCCCTTTCTTCGTCTCTGTAACTTGGCAAAAAGTATTGGTAGTGCCTGAAACAGGCTACAGTAATGGTGAACTGCCCTTTATAGTAGGGGATGTGGGGTGCTTTTGTCTTTCTTAAAACTATTCTATTTATTTTTTATTTTTTTATTTTTTTTTAATTTATTTTTATTTTTTAGTGCAAAAGAATTGGGTGAGAGAAAGGTGTAGTCCAAACCAAACCTCCCACCTGCTGTTCTGAAGTATTTCACTGCCTGGTGGTTTTCTTTTTGCCTCGTTTTGTTTTTAATTGAACCATGTTTGGTTTTTTTTGTATTCTGCTGAATCTACATCACAGAATCATTCATTTTTTCCTGATTTGATTGTCTCAACAGACAGTCTCTTTTACCTATTGCTGATTTTGGTAGAATACCCCCATAAGTTCCTTTAATTTTTTTTTTCTTCTGAATTTATGTCACTTTCTCTTTGGTGGATCAGGCTCAGACTCCTTCTCATGCCACTAACTTGTGTCAAATAACTGTGCTCTCCCAGCACAGAGTCCTGCATGTCTGCTGTCACACTAATTGCTCTTTCTCGGTGCATTTAGCTGTCCTCCCTTCAGTCAAGTGACAAAATAAAACTCCTTGACTGTGCACACTGTGACTTCTATGAAGTACTGATCAAACATGATTTGGTATGGGTAGCTTTATGTTGGTGCTGAGGAGTGTCTTGTTGGCTGCTCACGTGTTGTTGTAGGCTGAGCTGTGTGTATAGCTGTTAATCCTCGATCTAAACGTGACCTTCTGGCTTTTTATAAACAAAATCAGTATCAGAATGCTGGGGCACTAAATGTATCTTGGTGTTGCTTTACTTTTAGCTTTAAAATGTTTTTTTTTGCCTGTCTCTGAAGCTTTTGTCTGACCTATCGAAGTAACTCTGTACAGAGCTGTAGCCTTGCTGCATCTTGTCTTGGGTCTAAGGTGGGCCTCTTTTTTCCCCCTTTCCTTGGCTTATCTCTCCTGCATTAAGGACGCCATCAAATTTGACTGCTTCCAAGCTGACAGGTCCTTCCTCACAGGGTAAAGGCAGTGTGGGTGATGAGAGAAATTCTTCTAACAAATATTTTCGGTAAGTAAATTTTGGACTTGGAGGAAAAGCTGGGTCATCGTCACGTCGAAATGCTGACTTGAAAAATAAAAAATACATATGCACTTTTTTTTTTTAAGTTGGCACTGTTCTTTAATTTTCAATATTGACTCGAATATTCTTGAAATTTCAAATATATTTCCTTCCTATGAAGTAAGTTTAAGAAGGTACTTTACTGTAAGTACACTTCTGTGTTTGATTTTTATATTTCATGTTTCAAACACTTGTTATTATATACTCGTTGTACAGATGTTTCCTTAGAATATTCTGAAGATTGATGTGCTAGACTTCATTACAAAGTAAAGTGTGTGAAAAATCACAAGGAAATAAACTGTAAGTCTAGGAAAATGATATTGGAAACTGAAAGAAATAAGTAGGAATTAATATTTAAGAGATGGAAGTAGAAACCAACAAAACCTGGGTTGTGGCAGCTCCTACTATCAGTACGGGCTGGGAGAGATGTAAGGAAGGAGCACAGCTCTGCTGAAAAGGACCTGGGGTGCTGTTGGATGGCAGCTGGACGTGAGCCGGCGCTGCGCCCTCACAGCCCAGAAAGCCAACCGTATCTTGGGCTGCATCCAAAGCAGCACAGCCAGCAGGGCAGGGAGCTGATCCTGCCCCTCTGTGCTGGGACACCTCACCTGGAGTGCTGTGTCCAGATGGGGAGTCCTCAGTACAGGAGAGATGTGGGCAAATGACCCAAGGGATGGAGCACCTCCCTACGAGGGCAGGCTGAGAGCTGGGGCTGTGCAGGTGGAGAAGAGAAGGCTGTGGGGAGAGCTGAGAGCGGCCTGTCGGTACCCAAAGGGGCTGTAAGAAAGAGGGGGACAGACTCTTTAGCTGGGTCTGTTGTGACAGGAAAAGGGAAAATGGTTTCAAATTAAAAGAGAGGAGTTTTACAGAATCACAGAATCACCAAGGTTGGAAAAGTCCTACAAGATCACCCAGTCCAGCCATCCACCCATCACCAATAGCACTCACTAAACCACGTCCCTCAACACAAAATCCAAACGTTCCTTGAACACCTCCAGGTCGCTGACTCCACCACCTCCCTGGCAGCCCATTCCACTGCCTGACCACTCTTTCAGAAAAGTAGCATTTCCTAACGTCCAGCCTAAATCTCCCCTCGCACTGTTTGAAGCCATTCCCTCTGGTCCTGTCACCAGTTACACGAGAGAAGAGGCCGACCCTCAGCCCACTGCAGCCTCCCTTCAGGTAGTTATAAAGAGCAATAACTTCTCCCCTGAGCCTCCTCTTCTCCAGACTGAGCAATCCCGACTCCTCTTTAGATTGGATAAAAATAAGATTCTTTTTAAAGATGGTGAGGCAGTGGCACAGCTGCCCAGAGAGGTGGTGGATATCCCATCCCTACAGACAGCCAAGGTCAGGCTGGAGGGGCTGTGAGCACCTGGTGGAGCTGTGGTGTCCCTGCTCAGTGCAGAGAGTTGGATCAGATGACCTGCAGTGGCCCCTTCCATCTCAAAAGATTCTATGATATGTGATATCCTGCAAGCCATTAATACTGAGTTGCTGATGTGCTTATGGCAGACTTACTAGGCAGACTGGTTTACTGCAGGCTGTCCAGTTTGTTCTTCATTCATCACTTGAGATGTTTGGTATGTAGCAGAGGCTTTATGCCAGCAGGCTTAGCTACTGTCTGGAAGCAGCCAGTCTTCTCTGTGTAGGCCTTGAAACTGTGGCCTAATGCCCAGCAGCAGCACGGCTCTTTCAGGTATTGAGTGCCTGTATGGAGTCAGTGTCATTGTAAGCAACACCTGAGATGCTGTGCCCCAGATTTGGGAGAAAAGGCAGAAAGATTGATGCTGAAGATGTTGTGAGACCAGTTAAGAGCTCCTTCACTTACAACCACTCCGCATGCTGAACGAGTGCAGGCAGGGCTGGAGGAAAGGGAGACAACCAGTAACGTGCTAAATTTCTTAATGTAGACCAATCCCTATAAAACAGGATTAAATAAGAGATTTGTTTATATAATTTTGGGATAATTGGGAAGCCTTATTCCCATAAGTGCCAATTAGTAACACAAATACTTAAGTATTTGAAGTAGGACGGAAGATACATAGCTTGAGCTCTGACATTTGGACTGCATGGGCAGTTTCTGGTTAGAGGGCCGGCCTGTTAAAATGAAGGCTGTCTCAAGGGATGTTAGCAGCTTGGTGAGCTCTATGGTTCTTTCTCTGTAGCCATCTCTGTTTTCCTGATAAGCAGCTGTCATGAGCTTCACTGGTTTACTGGTTCACTCAGGATGGCTGTTAATGGTGATTTAATAAGAAGAACTTTTTGTTATTTTTTACTTCTGAAATCTTTTTTTTTTCTTCCCTCTTTTTACAGTAACAAAAGATCAGCCCAGGGGGATCGTTTATCAGCAATAACCATGGCATTGCAGTATGGATCAGAAAGTGATGAGGATGCTGCTTTGGCTGGTAGGAGCTGATATGCAATTTATCTGTTTATTTTCTTTAATTAAAGATATCTTCAAATATCACTCTATTGCAGAATTATATTTACTGTTTCAAAATTGAGCATATAATTCTGTTAAGTCCAGTCACTGTTTCATCTTAGTACTGAGTTATAAATGTGCAGCTGCTAAGAGATAGGCTCAACTGGCCAAACTGATCCTCCCTCCCAAAGGCTTTGGGAAACTGTTACATGTTTTTGTTCCTTCTGATGTGGAACAGACAAGGAGATGTTGAAAACAGTGTTACATGTTCTGTGGGTTAAGAGATGTGGCAGTTTTCCTAGAGAAACTTCATGCTGGCTTGTGCCGGTGGCTCTTCTAAGAGCCTGTCAGGTTTTATTTTTTAAGGTTAAGACTATTTATATGGGATATAAGGAAAGCTAAATAATAGAACTTAATTTGCAAATATCTTGTGTAATCTGGCAGTAATGTGATCTTGCGTGAGGACTCATGTTCAAACAAAAGTACATAAAAAGGCATGCCTTGAGACAGCACCTTTAGTTTCATAAGCATGCTATAGCATTGTATTATAAACATCTGCTATAACACGCACATTATGTCATATATTTCAGTATTGGCCAACGTTACTGTAGTCTGTCTTTTAAGTTAGTCTTTCTCAATAGTTGCATTCTCTGTAATTTCCTTACATTATCTCAGAGCAGATATCTGATTATTAATATTTTTGTTACATTTTTTTTAACATAGGGTGTGTTTTATTTCATGTTAGAATTGTATCTGTGTTCCTGGTTAGCCTAGGCTTCAGTTCTGGCTCCCCTCTTTGGGAGAGGTGGAGAGAATATTCATTCCTGTGGCTCAGTGTGCTTGTCAGTTGCAGGCCTTCCACACCTCAGTGCTGTAGGAGCATACAGCTTTCTGCTTCTTCAGGATTTAAATGCTTCAAGTGGTTTAATTGCTTTCAGATGTCACGTCTGCCATGGACACGGATGTCATTTGCACAGGGCCTTGTGTGTGTCTAAGATTTTTGCCTTAGTACTGCTGAAGTTATCCTATTGCATTCATCAAAGGGGCAGTTTTTTGGCAGATATCTGTCACTGTTTCTCAGTCTTTCCAGCATATCTTTGGACATCTCTATGTTTTCATTCTTAGAGTGAACAAGATTTTCCTTAAAAGCAAGCAGTCTTTTTATTGGTTGCTCTGGTATCTGTCTTTCCCCTAACACTTACTGAAACAAATGGGGGTTGGACATAAAGAGCGTAGAGAACTTTCTCCTTGGTACAGAGAGCTCAGTCTTTGTGAGCATCTCTGAGTGCAGCAGTTGCCTAAGCAACTGTTTCCAACTTGGAGTTTATCCTCACAGTTTCAGAGTGTGTCGTGGTGTGATGGAGCTTGTGGAAGATTTCTAGCTCAAACGTACTGAGACATGAGCAGCTTTTGCAGCTCCATTACAAGTTATCCTCACTATAAACGTAAAAAGGCATAAGGTTTATGCCTTTAGGACTGGTTGCAGCTTTTGATTTTACTAGCATCTATCTTGTTAGGCTTCAAGCGTTCGTGTTGTCTCAGTGCATGACATTGATGAAAGCAAGTTACTTAATAACTAAAGACTATTTTTTTGTATACATTCCTGTGCTTTCCTCACTCTGCTTCTTTCCTCTGTCAGCACTAAGGGCACACATATAGTTACTGCCTGAAATTTTTATTTCTGTTTTCTTTCCTCTGTACCTGCTAACTGTTCCTCTCTAATGTGTTCTTATGGGACCTATTGCTTCTGGATGTTCAAGAGCCTGTGGTCTTGCATTATGTGCTTGGTTGTGTAGCCAAATAAGGATTTTTGTCTTTTGAGTAATACATCTTCAGTCGTCAAGATGCGTTAATGCTTCCTGCTGGGAGGACATTATCACTTTCTGAATACCTCTGGATATATAGTGATTGCCATGTCTTTGAAAGAGCATACACATTGTAATAAAAATATGTATAGGTTCATTCAGGTGTTATGTACACATTCTCCTCTGAGTGCTTGTTTAATTTATTTAGATTTCATTTTGGGGAATGCCTGCAAAAGAAGGACCTGTCTTGACCAGAGTATTGAACTGCTTCTTTGCTGGCTACCATGTCACAGAATATTAAAGTCCTTCTTTCCTGTGTTTTTTTTTCCTCTTCTTAGAAGCAGCTCTCCTTTTTCCCTTGTATTCATTTTTGGTGGAGCAGTGAGAGCTGCAGTGTTGAGCCAACAAAAGCAAAGCCTACTTCTGTTGCATAATTAGTCTGGAAACTTGTTGTACCTGGTAGCATTTTCTTTGCTGCAAGGATTTCTCTCCATGGTCAGGCTGATAGATGAGGTTCAGGGAAAACAAAGCACTGTTTCCAGTCTCTTTTTCCTGCTGAAGTTACTCTGTCCAGCTCCTGCTTTGCAGGCTACTGCAGTGGATGCTGTGCAATTATTTGATGCTGATTGGCATTCGGACACATGATAATTTTAGGTATCTCCTCTGAGTCAGTAATGAACATCTCTGTCATGTTTGTGCATCTACTGAGGTCTGCTTGTGTTTTAGCTTGCATCTGTCTTGGCTAGCAGGTCTGCATAGACGTGCAGTGTCAGGCTGCAGAGGATAGATGCTAACACTGTGCTGCGTGCAGCCAGAATGCCCTCTGGCTTTGTCATCAGTTCAATATATCTTTACTGAAATTGAGTAGAAAACCTGAAACACTGCCAGCCACTACTGAGCAATAATGAAAATGCCATGAGCATTTGAGAGCTGTCTTTTGTGCAACTGAATTATCCAGCGTGTCATCCACCAAGCTTCCATCTAAACTGGAATTTGTAAGAGGGGAAGTTAAGGAATAAATAGCTGTGTGCTTCCTGGTTTTGTCAGCAGTAAATGTTACTTCATCACAGTATCCTTTTTGTTTGTTCTAATCCTGAAACTTACTGTTTGCTTCATCAAGTTAGCTGGCAAAGTCTCTATAAAATTGATAAATACTTTTTATAATTAGCAGAAATAGTTCATAATAATCATTCCAAAATGTGTACTTCTTCATTTTCTGCATATTAAAGGTGACCTTCAGTGTCAGTCTTGTCAGTTAAAGTTCAGTTTTCTTAATTGGGCTGTGAATGTTAGAGTTTAAAGGATAACAGAAGTTTTGAAGTCACTTCTTTTCACATGCATACAAAAAACATCGTGTTTAGTTCAGCCATTTTCCCTGTCTGAGCACCTTTGCAGATTTGAGATGTGGTTTGTCAATTCATGTTCTTGTAGTGTACTCCAGTTGGGCAGCAGCATGACTGTAGCTCAGTGCACAAATATATTTGGCACGAATATTGACATCAGTGTTTAAATGGGTAAATAAGGATGTTCTATAGCTGCCCTATTAATAGCATGTGGTTGAGTGGTCCTGGTGTGTACTCTCCTGTATACATACTTCTCAGTGCTTCTGTATGCAGGGTGTGTTACCAGTGACTGAGCTGAGTCTCATGTGCTAAGAGAGCTTGCTATCTAGCTATGTGTTGTGGTGGTTTTTGTTTTCTGTTTTCCCATCAGCTTGAGGCACATGAGGTACAGCCATTTGTGGTGTCCTTTTCTAAGATGTGAATCTGACTGCCAGAGTGGCTGAATGCCCTCAGCTGAAGGACTCTTTTGTTCTTGTTTAGTTCTTTCTCTATTTGAAAAGTCAAACAACGAAATCCACTTGACTTGTTCGCTGAGAGTTTCCCATTTTTCCTTTCTCTCTGTGCAGCTGCTGCTCGTTATGAAGGAGAGTCTGAAGCTGAGAGTATTACTTCCTTCATGGACACTTCTAATCCTCTCTATCAGCTTTATGATACAGTTAGAAGTTGCCGAAATAATCAGGGCCAGCTAATATCTGAACCCTTTTTCCAGTTGCCCTCCAAGAAAAAGTATCCTGATTATTACCAGCAAATTAAAACACCTATTTCATTGCAGCAGATCAGGTAAGAAAACAGAATGCAAACTACGTCTGATGGGAAAATATTTAAGGGTTTCTTCTGTTTCCAAAGTCCTATATTGTGGTCAGGTTGCTGATGCACCGTGTACCATCTTTCCTCCGTGCTTTGATTGGTGCTTGTTTCACGCCAGCCTGCATCAGTCTTCTGGTCATCTTTTATAAATGGCTGCCGTCCACGGGTTTATTTTACATGGTGTTTCATTTGTGCTGTGCCATATCAATAATTCTGGAGGGTTGGTAGCCAGCAGAGGTGAAAGTTTCTGCAGAGCCCTAGGTTATGCACTTTCCTTGACCCCAGTGGCTTGCTTACCTCTTACTGCCGTGGTTTGTACATTAATAGTCTTCAGCAAAGCAAATTGTCTATGACACAGTCCAACTGTGGAGAATATTTTCATTAATGATCTAGCTAGTCTGGAGTGCTCATGCAACACACCATTCCTAAATCTATGAGCCGTAGAAGCTCATCAGCTCTCAGAGCACAGTTACTGGGTAAAAACCAGGTTAAAAAGAAGAACAGCGAGCATCATCTTCCTTGAGTGGTGTGAGAGAAGCTATTATGATGGAGCTATTATGGTTGGATATATGTCAAGGTGCTGAGTGCATGAGAAGTGTTAGTGGCCCAGGATAGTGGCCCAAGTCTCCTGCCCTGGGACCCAGGAGCCCTGTTACAGCTCAGCCCTTGGGCTCCAGTCATTGCCCTGGGCTGTGTGGTAGCAGTGTGTGCTCCAGCACACCACAGCCTGGCCATGCACTCACGATGATCCCCCTACTTATTGAGACTCTGTCCTGCAGGCTGATTTCCCAGACTGAAATTGGGCCTGCTATGTCCCTGAGCACAGGTCCTGTCTGACCCTGGCTGCCATCCCTGGATCGGACTCTGACCTGCCAGCCTGGCTTCCTGCCTTTGCCTAGTCACCAAAATTCAGCCTGGATTCTAGGTTGAACCTGCTTGCTCACGACTGGCAAGGTCTCTGCCCTGCTGACCACCTTCGTGTGCTTGGTTCCCCGTCCATGGAACAGCCAGCCTACTCTGTTGTCATGGGATAAAGGTTTGGGAAGCAAATAGAAAAAATCCCACACTGGTTAGCTATCCGTCAATGGCTTTAAAGCAGTTATTTCTTTATGTCTTAGTACAGCTGTTGACTTGACAAAGGAGGCATTTTTTGTTGAAGGAACCACCCAGCACATTTTTTTGGAAAAAAAGATGAAATTTAGAACATCATTGATAGGGAGCATTTAATCTGAGTGTACAGAAGGGCACTGGTTCTAATTATGTATATATGGATTTAACTGAGAGAAATGTTGCTTTGAAAATGTGCTTAGTACATGATAATTTGCCTTAGGCTTTTCTGTTTCCCTTACAGAGTAGTCAGGTTACCCTTGGCTGCTGGAGCAGTCCAAAGATGGCATGCAAATATATAAAGAAATTCAGAAGAAGATGATATTTCTCATTACCTGAGAGCTTGGAAAATAAAGCACAGTTTTTTTAGAAATAGTGTGTGTACACATTTATAATATTTATAATATGAAGTATTTATAATTGTCTAAGTAGCTTTAGCAAATTCTGAAATTCAGTTATTTGTTAAATACCACGTAGCGTTCTCCTTTATTATGCATAAAAGCCCTGAAGTCATGCATATGTGTACTTAATTGTTGTTCATTAGGGAAAACTGAAACAAGCATGGTTTTGTTGGTATTCCTAGGGAATGGAAGGGTTTTTTTGGTTTTGCTTTGGGTTTGTTTGTTTTTTGGGGGGGAGGGGGCAGGGGATTTTTTTTTAGAGGGGAGGGAACAGTAGATGATTACTGTTGGTTTGCATGTTTGAAGATGCAGATTCAAGGTGTGCACCTGATGGTCCTAGATGAGGACAAGAAGGTGATGGGTCTAGAGGGGGACAAGATGGGGACAATTAACAGAAGGTTAATTGTTGTAGTGACAAAGTAAGGGTGTTAGTGTACAGCCTGGCATCCCAGTCTCCTAGTGATTGCTGCATTGGCACCTGGATATTTGGGCTATGCTGCCAGAGTGCACTGTGAAATGGGTGGCTGAGTGTCTACTGCCATAGGAGCTTTTGCAGCTAATCATGTATTTCAGGAGTCTGTGTGTTAAATGCAGGAAAATCCACACTAAATGATTTATCATCTCTAGCATATCACAGCTCTATGTGTATTTGGTTTAACGAGCAGATAACAGCTATCCCAGCATCTTGATCACTCGCTGAGCGCTGTGATCCTTGGTGGCATGAGCTGGGTGCTGCTCTCAGGCTGTTCTGGCTGCAGGAAATGATCCTTCCATGCCTGCAGTGTCCTCCTTGTTTCCTCTGTACAGAAGCCAGGGTTGGAATGGAGCCACCTACCACCCACCTCACTGTGCACATGGCCCATTCTCTACGGCCAACCTGGGTAACCATGCCAGCATTTGGCAACCATCATAGATTCAGGAAAGGAGTCTCGTGTTCAGATGGAATTCCCTCTTTTTTGTGCCCTTATTCTGACAGTGAACATGGATGAGACAGGTTTGGTTCACTCTTCATTCCCTCCCATGGGGTGTTTGTCTTCACTGGTGTGATACTCCCTGCCTCAGCTTGAATAGAGCAAAGTGCAGGGCTGCAGAGTCTTTAAACAGACTTTGACTTTAAGATATGTTAGAATTCTGCAGTATGGAGGTTATTTAGCACTGTTAAAAGTAATTCAGTAATTCATTGCCCGGAGAAGTAGTCAGGAACTAACGCAGGAACACACCAAACTTACTGTTACATGGAATGCAGGTGTCAGATACTGACATGCTTACCAGAACTGTGTTTCTCCTTAAATTTTACAGCATCAGTAAATATGATCCTGAAGGCAAGTTCATGAGGCTTTATTCCACTGGGGGTTTCTCTAACAGCTGTTCTCTCCTGTCTGCATGTGAGAGATGAGTGCCTTCATAGGCATGCCCCAGTGTCTTCTGCTCCGGGAAGCTGGGGAAGGACTTTTTATGTGGGCATGTAGCAACAGGATGAGGGGAAATGGCTTAAAACTGGAAGAGGGTAAGTGTAGACGAGATATTAGGAAGAAATCTTTACTGTCAGGGTGGTGAGACAGTGGAGCAAGTTGGCCAGCGAGTTGGGGGTGCCCCCTCCCTAGAAGCTCTCCAGGCCAGTCCAGATGGAGCTGTGAGCAACCTGGGCCATGGGAGGTGTTCCTCCCATACAGCAGGGGGTTGGAACTGCGTGATCTTAGAGGTCCCTTCCATCCCATACCACCCTATGATTCTGTGGTCTAATGGAAAGCAGTTTGTTCTGCGTGACATCCGCTACTTAAGAACCTTGTGAGCTTTTCTTATGAACCTTCATCCAACTTTATGTGTCATAGGAATATGAACTTTGTTTCACTGGGTTGAAATTCTCCTGGAGCTTGAATTTGTTTGGCTCTTGTTACTTCTAGATTTAATATTCAAGTTGAAAATAGAATAAACATATTTGTCTGATCAGTGGGACTTAACCTTGAAGGGGCAGAGGCTGCTCTCTGGGTTAAATTGAATGTTTTATGAAACTAATAGCTGAAAGTAACACTTAGGTTAAGGTTTTATTATAACTTTTGGAAAAATAATATATCACTGTATTGCAGTTTGCTTAATTTATGCATGTGCCAGCTGGGAAAATATTCTGAAGACAAAATTCTTCTCTTTAGTATTTAAAATCCCTTGCAAATTTTCCTTCCGTCTGCCACTATGGCGGCATAATGCCAGCAGGCAGCTCAGCTCCACCTGCTGCAGTCCCACTGCTGCTCCACAGAGCAGTGGAGGGAGGAGATGTGATGGAAAATGCTCCTGGATTGATGTAAGGCCAGGGATGTTCCTCACTGGTTGCCTTGTGGGCTGGGCAGACCCAGAACTGGGAGATTAATTTAGTTTATTGCCTGTTACCATCAGACCACTGCAGTGAGAAAATAAAAGCAAACTGAAAAAAGCTTTCCTTGTCTTCCCTTGTCCCTTTTTAAGGAAAGGAAACTGTTGCTAGTAGGATACATACCCTAAGAAATGCTGCTGCTTTGTTCTGCCTGCAGCTTACTTTCATCTTTTTTGATGTGGGCATAGTGCAGTTTGTGTTGTGGGCAGAACAACTCCAAACAAAGAGAAGTGGTGCTAAGGGAAAGTGAGGAGAAGCAATCTGAATTGAAAGAGTGGTACTTCTGTTGAGAGGTGGCCTTCTGTGTTTCTTGTTCAGGAGCTGGCCTTATACCTCGTGCAGAGTTCAGACTTGTGATTCTGTAATTCTGTTTCCTTATATTACTTGGGAGACCAGCAATTTCTTTAGTTCTTTCTGCCATTGAGTCCCTCTAAACTTTAGTTTTCTGGAAGAAGGAAACACGGTGAGGATGCTGACAAACTGCGTGCTGCTGATACTGAAGCAGAAATTGAGCAGAGGTGGAAGGCAGGCATGATGTGTGCAGGCTGGCCTGCTTTCAGGGGATGAACCAAGAGCAGATCTTGTAATATAAAAAGGCTTAGTAATAGCTGATTGCTGGAGCATGGCTGCTTTTCCTGTAATGGTTGTCTGTAGCAGTGAAAAGTATTGAGGTATTTTAGACATGAAGTATTTAATATGCAAAGCTAAGGCAGCTGAGGTGGTCTTCACATTGTTAGATGCCTAGAGCCCAGTTCTGCGACTTTGTCAGTGTGAGTGATCACTTCCATCTGAGAGATCCCCTGGAAACAGGCAGTGCAGCTGCTACCTGTGTCCCAAGGAGAGGAGCTCTGGTGGCATTTCTCTGTGAACTCATTTCTGCACAGGACATGCTTTTCTCAATTTGTTTCCTAAGTACTCTAGATGATGCTTGCTCTTTTTCCATTCAAAGAGGCAGAATTGTGTTTATTTGGACATCATTTTAGTTGCTCATTAATCCTTTGGAAGTTTAAATGATTTATGAACACTTATACTAGCACCAGTAAAGGAGGAAATTGCTGGAAACTGCTATTCACACGTGACAGATTGGAGTGTTGTTAAATCACAAATCACACTATTTTGAAAAAAATAAGAGCATACAATGTTTGTGATAAAATTGGGATTACTGGTGAGAGTTTCTGATGCAAGTTTTCTTTTAAGTATTTCTGTTCTGTGTTTTCTTGCGTGCTGTCTTACCGAAGTTTTATCTTTTGCAGTATGGACAAGCCTCGTGTGCTGCAGTCCTGCCGTGGCTTCTCAGTGTTCCTTTTGGACTGCAGAGCCTCCCTGTGTGCTTTGCTCCCTAGATTTTGCTTTCCATACCAGCCAGCAGTCAGGCTAGCTGGAGGAGATGAGGCATACCTGTACAGTTTGTTAGTGGACGATGGCAAGAGCATGAAGCAGTGTTTATGTCCTGAGTATTTATGAGTACGTGCATCATAAGCCAGGGGTTTTGGGGACAGAAATCCTGAATTTCACGTTTTGGGTTTTTGTTTTTTTTTAATATTAGTCATTTTTAATACTGTAACATACTTGTTACCATAGGCAGATAGCTTTTGTTGGAGTTTTACATTGTGCAAATGGAGATGGATTCTGCTTCATGACTGTTTCATTGGTACAAAAATTCCTTTTCCCCCTTTTTCCCCGTTTATTTATTTTAATTCTTGCCGCTCTGCAATGAAAGCTGTCTTGGTAACTGTCCATTTTTGGAATGGCAGTGAGTGATGCTGACAGGAGAACCTTTCTGTGTGATTCTGTTATGCGTGACTTCAGTTGGAAATACCAAAAATAAGCTAGAAAATAATACACAAACGTTAACAAGACACCAATGTCTTAGAATCTTAGCAGTATGTAGGGACCCAGGATGGTGTGTTATGGATGAGGATAACAAGTAATTTTCTCCACATCTTAAATCTAGGATGTTTGTCCAAAGCTTTTTATTGTTTTCTCATAGCCACTGAGAGCTCTCTAGTTCTTCAGCTGTGAGATGGCGCTTACTGTTCAGTAGGGCATGCAGCTGGAGCCCAGGAAATTAGCAGTTGGTTGGATGTTACCAGCAGAAGGATTCTACAGTGCTGTTGTGGTAGAAATCCGTGAGCACTTCTCAGCAGTTCTGTAGTTGGAAGAGAACATGGGGGGATTATTTTTGGTTTGTTTTGCTTGTTTTTTGCTTTGTGTTACTATTTTCTGTTGCGTTCTCTTGTGTTCAAAGCGTGTGAAAAGCTTGTTTGTGTTGTTGGCCCTTCCAGCTTTCTCCAGAAGCATATTTCAGCAGGTGAGGCACCAATCAACAAACAGCCATCTTTGGGGGAACGCAGAAAGAAGTGTTTATCTAGTGTTGTTACAATGGCAAGGTGATATTGTGGCATCGGAAGAAGATAACAAGAGCTGTCTGGATATGGATTTCTCACAAAAATGAAGCTGTTGAAGTATGATTTGGTGCTGTGTGTGGGAAGTAATCTGTAATTTTCTTCTTTTGCAGAGCTAAACTGAAGAACCACGAGTATGAAACATTAGATCAGTTGGAGGCTGACCTGAACTTAATGTTTGAAAATGCCAAGCGTTACAATGTCCCCAATTCTGCCATCTATAAGAGAGTTCTGAAAATGCAGCAGGTTATGCAGGTACCTGCAGTAGAACAATCAAAAGGATGCAACTTTTCATATGAATTTGTTTCCCTAAGTAATATTTTTCCAAACCAATTTCTAACAAGACTCATGTTTGCAGTAGTGTTTGCAGTAGTGTTTTTATTGGCTGTGATTGGCTTGTGTGTTCCATAGTGTCCTATAATGTCTAAATAGTAGTCTGAAAATTGCTTCCAAAAGTAGATGATTAGGAGGTGATGTGTGGGAATGAAGAGCAGCATGGAGTGATTCCTGCAGTATAACTGTTACCTTGGTCTCTTGGTCACTCTTGTTCCTTATCACAGCTTCTAACCTGATAAAGTTGTGAGGAAAACTGAAAAAAATGCTGTTTGTATTTCTCTCTTTCCCCTTTTTTATTTCAGTTTACAGTTAAATACAGGGAGGTGGAGGATGCTGAAGATTTCATTAGATGATCCAGCTACGTGCTGTAATCTGAAATGGCTTAGATTTCAAATTGTTCCCCTAAGAACTTTAGTGACCATTTTGTTGTCTGCAAACTCACATGAAATAGATAAATGAAATATTTTGATGGTGCATCTGCCTTTATGTGCAGAAAACACATAGCTGCATTTTATCTTGTGCATCTGATCTGGTCTTTAATATTGTTCTGAACGTGTCCAGCAATGACTTCAGTCCTTTGTCCTTTCTTCAGGCAAAGAAGAAGGAGCTTGCTCGGAGAGATGACATTGAGGATGGGGACAGCATGATTTCTTCTGCTACATCTGATACTGGAAGCTCCAAAAGGAAAAGGTGTGTGTGCTTCTGTAGTCTCCTGTAGACTTTAACATTGCTATTTTGTTTATTTATTATTTTCTTTGCTTATTCTTAGAGAACACTAGACTGTGTTCTAGCATTTGTGTAGTGATTGAATAGCTCTGAAACTTAATCTCATTAATTGTTCTAGTTAAAAACTGTTTGCTGACATTAGTTTCCTTTTGGGCTAGTTAGAAGATATCAACAGAACTGTAATAAGTGGGCACTGGAAGCACTGATGTCTCTTTGCATACATTTTCCTTCTTCCATTCTCTAAACCATTTGGGAAAATCTTGGCAGAAATGTTTGGACTGTTTCTCTGCCTCTCCTTATCTTTTGAAGGAAATTCTGACTTTCAATAACATGATTGCAAGTGTAGCAACTATGTGTGAAACTGCAGTTCAACATCCCTCTTAGATGTTCAGCCTCCCCTATTTTTAGTTCTTTCTAATGTCAAAATGACAGCAGTTATGGGGGGAGGAAGGGAATGAATAGAGTAAAGATCTACTTAAGAGCAATCAAGTGCATCGCTTACACAGAATAAAAATCTGCATGGGGAAAACATTAGCATGGATTTAGGAGGTGGTGCAACCCAGAGATGTGAGCAAAAAATAAAAGAAGCAGAAAGGTAAGGCAAACCACCACATCAAATGAAGATCAAGAAGGAAAAAATTGCAAAAATTGTCACTGTTGTGATCTTCAGTATCTGATGAACCAAGTCAAATTGTCATCAGTATTCTTGAAATTCAGTGCTTTGATCCTGTGCAAGAGAATACTGAAATGCTTAAAAGAGAGTATCTGTCAGACCTTGTCATCTAAGAGGGGTAAAAGAAGGAAAAAGTCTTCATAGGTAAGGGAGGTAATTGTATGTATTTTATGTCTAACCTAAAGTGCTTTTGATGCTGTCAGTTCAGCATTTGCTATCACATTGACTTGCTGAGAGGTAGCAAGTAAAAGAAGACTGTGAAAGCTGATGATAACAGAGGTGCAGCATGGAGGAATTGCAAGATATTGAAAGAAAATGTTAATGCACCAGGCAAAATGCGTCCTGTTGGGAAAGTAAGAGTGTTTTCTACTGATGGTGTTGTTTGAATTTCCCCTTTTACTTGTCAGATGTAAGGGCTGTCTAGACAAGGCTTTTGATGTTTCCGTTTTGTTTTTGCATCACCCACTTTTGTTAGACTAAATGGTAAATTTTGGAAGCGTGTCAAAGCGTGGATGGAATTCAAGGGCCGTGTAACTGTTCTGGTATTGTTCATCTGCTGCTGTGAACCATTAATTAGCAGCATCCAACAGTGAAGGTAGAAAGGGAGAGGGGAGTGCTTTATATAGGCAATCCATTTTGATTTTTCTGACATGTTGGAACATTACTTTTGTTAGTTATTTGCAGGCAGTGTCAGAGGCACAAAGCCATACAAGATTAGGTGTATTTCAGATGAATATCTTTGAGAAGGAGCCAGGTGATGGAAAAACTACGATGCAGTTTGGCTTGTTTTACAGTGATGTTTTATACATTCTGCAAATGTAGATGGTTTTTTTGCTGATGTCTATAGAAATAGTTGAAGTTACGTCTACCTGAATGGGTGTTTCATAGAGATTGCAATTTGAAAGATGGTTCAAAAATGCTTTGTGGAGAATGCATTTCTAAATGTGCCACGGTATCTGAGTTTAATAGTAACACTAGCTTTCTTCTTCCATCCGATTTGTTACAGACCCTGTAGTGTATGTACAGGGAGCCATGCAGGACTTGATTTATCTATTTTTCCTTCTAATAATCTTCATCCTGGTTATGCTGTCAGATTTCATGACCCAATCTTTACAGCACACATAGGATGGCTGTGGAATTTGTGGTGTTAGTATGGAGGTGTGACCACTTTTCAGGGTGGGTGTTGCAGTACTGGTAAGGTTGACTTGTGGCTCTGAGTGTGGTTGATGTGTTTTGGTAATTCAGGCCATCTTCCTCCTATGTTCTCAATATCCTTGCTATCTGTTACTGCAAAAGGTGCTGAAATACACATAGATTAATGTCTCACATCTTTGATGTTCTGTTTTCAGCAGAGGTGGTCAGGAAGGCAGTGATTGCTGTATTTTTTGAGTTCTTGGATTCACGTGTTCGCTCCTGACTGATCTGTTCTCCCTGCAGCTGGAAAGTGCTTAGAACTCCATCTGATCTTTTGTATTTTTATTTTTTAAAGCGAGTGATTTGTTTTATTCTGTAGAATGTTTCAAAACAAGGTGGAAATGGGGGGAAATAATATCCTAAAGATGGTTTCCTGTTTATTTAGCAGAATACTGATAGTGGTGCTGTTGTTATTTGCAAATCCATTTGGAAATCCAGCACGGACTTGCATTTCTACTACTCTGTCTTAAAGTTGTGCTTGTTTTCTTATTTTAGAGAATAATGTCGTTTTGATAGGAGTGCTGGAAGAGCCTTCAGCATTTATTCTTTCCCTTTTTATTCTTCTCCATGACCTAACAGTAAAAAGAACATGCGAAAGCAACGAATGAAGATCTTGTACAACGCAGTTCTGGAAGCTCGGGAGTCGGGCACAGGCAGACGGCTCTGCGACCTGTTTATGGTTAAGCCATCCAAAAAGGACTATCCAGATTACTATAAAATTATCTTAGAGCCAATGGACTTGAAAATGATAGAGCACAACATCCGTAATGATAAGTATGTAGGGGAAGAAGCCATGATTGACGACATGAAGCTCATGTTCCGAAATGCAAGGCATTATAATGAGGAAGGCTCCCAGGTACTGTTTTGATTCTGCAGTCACACTTAACCTTATTTGCAGATACGTAGTTGGATTTTTTTAGCTTTGACTATTAGCTCCAGTATTTATGGTAATTGTTTACTTAGATAGAACGGAAATGTGACTTTCTTTCTCCTTGAGTTTTCAATTCTGATTTGCTATGTAATTGTATAAATATGAAGAGAAGCATGCTCCCTTAATTATTTAACTATGAAGATTGCACTTACTTCCTGTTCACTTGGCTTATTGCTTCACTACAAAGAACTGTCAGCTGAGTATCTCCTGTATGTTAATAATAACTCTGAGCTGGTTATTGAATTTTAATTATTTATCACATTAAGGTATTTGCACTGTGGAGGGTCACCAGCACTTGTTCAGGAGCTCAGAACCTCTGAAAAGGCATCTATTAGTTGAAAGAAAAACAAGGTCATTATCATGGAAGTAGAGAATGTGGAAGATCAGACTAGAGGAATGGACTTGTTAGCATAGCAGAAGTAATCTGAGATGAATATGCTTTTCACTTATGAATATATCTTAATGGACAGCTAAAAGAGGGGTATAAGGTGATGTTGGGCAGAAAGGGGCATAGACGGTCATGAGAATGCTTGGGAGCTAAAAGTGTTTTTCTAGGTGAGCAAGCTTGATGTTGCAGAACAGAGTGACAGTAAGAAAACTCTGGTTATGCTAATGGAAAACATGATCAGATGACATACAGAAACAGTTGCCTGCGCTGGACTTGGATTTGGAGACCCAGGAGGGCTGTTGCAGGCATTTCTTCTATAATGGAGCTGCGTTAGTTGGAGAGATAGTTGTTGAACAGAATGATTTGATAGGGAAGTTGATAAGGCAACCTTGTTTTCTAATCTGGAAAAGAAAGTTTAATTGGCTAATTTATCAAACTTTTATATCTCACTGATTTATGCTTATCAATTCTGCTTACCTTCATATATGTGCTGAGTGTGTATAATTGAGAAATAATGCTTTCTTTTCAACCACATAGTTGATTTTGCCTTCATTTTTTTCAAAATAGCATCTAAATGTCTCAAGAGGACTAGTACTAAACTTGTCCTTAAGGTCTGGATTTGGCTAAATCTCAGCACCCTGAGACAGCAGGAATTACTGCCATAAAGTTAATCACCTTATGCTAGAGTGCGTCAGGAAAGTTCTTCTTACTGTGTGAGGCAAACACAGTAAACCTGCTTTTGTGTTTGTTTTGTTTTTGATGACTGATCAATAGGTATATAATGATGCCCATATGCTGGAAAAGATCCTCAAAGAAAAAAGGAAAGAACTGGGACCACTGCCTGAAGATGATGATGTTGCATCCCCTAAACTAAAGCTAAGTAAGACAACGTTATCAGTTGCTGTGCTTCCACTGAACACTTGCCCAATCCAGGAATACAGACTGGCAGACTCATCCTTTTGAAATGGGAGATGTTGTCTGTGTTTTTACACTGTCAGGCAAAGCATGATTTTATTTTCAAAATGATGATGCCAGCTGTGGTTTTTATACATGCATGTTAGTTTTTATATGTGCTGTTGCATATTGCAATTTCTAAGAAAAGTAACAGAATGAAGGAGGAAAAGTTTAGAGCTGCTGGATTGATGTGGCATGTGGCGTATTATCCAAATGTTAGATGACCCACTGTGTACTCAGAAACACCTCTGTAATGTGTGCTTACAAGTAAGATGCTTCACAAACTGAGTCAACCATAGTTTCCCTGGTCAGATATCTGGGATTTCCACAGAATGATGAAGGAAATTTGACATCTAATTGGAGAATATTGAAAACACAGAAGCAAAGTTTGTGACAGTGTCCATTCTTGGGGCTGTTGCCCGTAAAAACTAATTTGCTACTACTCAGATCTGCTTAGAAGTTAGCTGAGAAGATTTACATTGCACAGAAAGATTTAAAGAGAGTAACTGTGAGAAGGTGCAGAATCACAGAATGGCCAGGGTTGGAAGGGACCTCAAGGATCATGAAGCTCCAACCCCCTGCCACACGCAGGGCCACCAACCTCCCCATTTCATACCAGCCCAGGCTGCTCAGGGCCCCATTCAGCCTGGCCTTGAACACCTCCAGGGAGGAGGCATCCACAACCTCTCTGGGCAGCTGTTCCAGCACCTCACCACTCTCATAGGAAAGAACTTCCCTCTGACATCCAACCTAAGTCCTTCTTGGGCACTGTTGAAAACAGAAATGTGCACCTCTTTGCTACACTACAGTTAGTAGGGAATTCACAGGCAGGTACTATGCAGCACAGTAGTGGAGATTTTGAATATGTCAAGAAGCTCCTCTGACTGGTAACCCAAGGAGGTGCATTATTTTACCTTAGAAATTCTAATTTGGCATAAACCTGTGATAGAAGGATCTGGTAATGTTTCTGATTTATGCTTAATTTTGGCACTAGTGAAAACCTGGGTTTTTAATGGACATGGAGGAAAAATACATTAGGAGCTAATAAGGCCAAATTGAATGTAAAGCAACTTAGTAAAAGTGAGATAAGGTGAGGAAAAAATTATTTTCCATGCCGAAGGCTGAAGAGACCTTTGCCTGCTGGGCCTTAAAGCAATGTATGCTTCAGAGTTTACTAAAAGTAGCATTAAAAAAAATGCCATGCAATTATTAGAAATAAGAAAAGAAGCTGCAACTTGGCTTAGGCTCAGTGGTTTCTTTGCTTGTACTGTAAATGCTTCTTCACTGGGCATTTCTCTAACAGAAAGGCGTGGACAAAGAAGTACTGATGCTCATTTTTGTAATGGTTTTTTTCTTCTTCTATTTACACAGGTAGAAAAAGTGGCATTTCCCCCAAAAAATCGAAATACATGACCCCGATGCAGCAGAAATTGAACGAGGTGTATGAGGCAGTTAAGAATTACACGGACAAACGGGGCAGGCGGCTGAGCGCCATCTTCTTGCGGCTGCCGTCTCGGTCTGAGCTGCCCGACTACTACATAACCATTAAGAAGCCGGTTGACATGGAGAAGATCAGAAGTCACATGATGGCCAATAAATACCAGGATATCGATTCCATGGTAGAAGACTTTGTGATGATGTTCAACAACGCTTGCACCTACAATGAGCCAGAATCTTTGATTTACAAAGATGCCCTGGTCCTGCATAAAGTTTTGCTTGAAACTCGAAGAGAGATAGAAGGAGATGAGGATTCTCATGTGCCCAATGTGACTTTGCTAATTCAGGAACTTATCCATAACCTTTTTGTATCTGTTATGAGCCACCAGGATGATGAGGGCAGATGCTACAGTGATTCCCTAGCTGAGATTCCTGCTGTTGATCCCAACTTCCCAAATAAACCTCCTCTGACTTTTGACATTATCCGAAAAAACGTTGAAAATAATCGCTATAGACGACTGGATTTGTTCCAGGAGAACATGTTTGAGGTACTGGAGAGGGCAAGGAGAATGAACAGGTGAGCAAAACCACATTTTGCAGATATCTGTTGTCATACAGCGTGTTTTGTTGGGTAGGGAGACTCAAGTTTTTATTTTTAGTGTTTGCTTTTCTTGGAGTGAGCGCTCAGAAATTTTACTTCGTTCATGTCTTCAAAGGAATGTAAGTTTTCTTTTATAAACAAGGAAATATTTAGGCTTCTGCTATAATTTTGATGCTAATGCTCTAAAGATTAACCTTATGAAAACCACATTTGTTCCAAAGCTGTGAGCCCTTTAAAACGTCCAGCAGTGTTTAACTTGAATTAGGAAAGACATCTTTGTTAATATTGCTATTACTCCTTAAGTTCCCAGAAGTAATGCTTGAAAATGAACAGACTGGCAGGGGCCACTGGCAAGTAATTTTAGTCTCAAGCAGTTGGTTTTCATTTTTCTGTTATTTTAGAACTTGTGTATAAAAAAATACTGCTTTTAGATAAACTGTAAAACAAACTGACATCATACTAGCAGATGGAGCACGACTTGCCAGTGTCTGTGGTGCCACCTGTTATGAGTAAGCACAGAAATCTGTTAGTAAAGTGAAGCGTTAGCATGCATCACCCATCCCGTCAGTATGAGGCAGTTTGCCCAATATGATTTTGATTACAGTTTGTCATTATTTCCTTGGAAGCAGTCTCTTCTGTTTTGTTCCTTTGCTTTGCTTGCTTATTTGGGTGTTGCTTTTTGTTTCGTTTTTACCGTATCAACCTGAGTTACATTGAATGATCTTGTCTTCTTTTTACTTTCACATTCTTTTTCAAAGAAGTCAGCAGTGCTTTACGCTGCAAATTCTCTCTCGAGTTTGTCAGAGTTCCACCTTGAGGTGGATCATGAGATGCTTCTCTAAGTTGATATCTGTGTGGCGGTCGAGCAATCTGGTGGTGGTGATTGCTCTAATCTGCCTTTTTCTTCACCTTCACTGAGATTTTTAAGTTTTGCAACTGGAAAACCTGCAGTAAGTTTCAAAAAAGGCAAAGGCCATCTTCATCTGAATACCTCTGCAGATAAGAACGACCTGTAACTGTTCAGTTGTGTTTGACTGGAAACTGTTCACTTTGGCCACTGACAGTCAATCACCGTTTCATTTTCCAGGAGATGTAAACATACCCCTTTGTAACCTTCTTCATTGTAAAAATACCTTTTCTTTCCTTATGATGAACTCTGTAGCTCAAATACAATGTAATCTGCTACTCAAATTTGAAAAGTAGCACAGGTTAAGCTTAATTTGCTGAACTTTCATTTTGTAAATTCTTTCAAATAAAGGGTAGGTGACAAGCAAGGCTTCGCCTCCTAGGCTTACACTTTCCGTTTTAAGCTAGTAGCCAAATTAGATACTGAAATAATCTGTGGTGGGGGTAATTTTACAGACAGGCTACAGAAGTGCATAGATATGATGTAAAAGAGCATTATTTTTTTGAAGAGGAGTTTTATTGCAAAGTATGGAGGTCCACAGGGGTGTGTGTGTGTTTAGGATCCTGTTTGACTGCACAAAGTTATGTTTCTGCCATGTTATATTGTACCTGCTTTTGTACAGGACGGATTCAGAGATTTATGAGGATGCAGTTGAACTTCAGCAGTTCTTCATTAAAATTCGAGATGAACTCTGTAAAAATGGAGAGATTCTTCTGTCGCCTGCTCTCAGTTATACCACCAAGCACCTTCACAACGATGTAGAAAAAGAGAAGAAGGAAAAGCTACCCAAAGAAATAGAGGAGGATAAACTCAAAAGAGAGGAGGAGAAAAGAGGTAGCTATTTTCATTGGTATTAAATGTACTGAGAATATACCTATGTGTATCGTGTGTGCTCTGCTGTTGCTGCAGCTTCACTTACTGAAGGTTATATTTTAAGGTGATGAGAGATTTATTTTATTTTGATCCTTATCAGCTGGGTCCACATGGCTTTGAAACAGAGAGAAATGTAGACACTAACCCTAAGTAAACTCTTCAATAGAACACACGAGGAAACAGTAGTCTAACTCCAGTTATATTACAAAATAAAATAATTGGGTAGGTTTTATTGTAGCTGGTAATAAACTTAGCAATGACTGTACCAATGGACCTTTGAGTCATTAACTTTTTGGTAAATATAATTTTCCTTGATATGCTGAAGGTGTTATCTCTGATCATACTTTCTTGTTACTAATGAGATGACATCAAAGTAAGCCTCTTGCATTTCTTATTTGGCTGCTGTGGGTATGAAGAGGAAAAAAGCTTTCAGCTTTCATGGGGCAAGATACCTACTGTGAAGATCTTTTGTTTCACGTTTCCTGCACATATAATGGCTGGTGGAGCATGTCACATGAGGACTCAGCACAGCTCTCTACCTGTTCTGTTCCACAGATTTGAGCAGGGCTGTTAGTTCCTTGTCCTTCAGTTGTCTTTCTGACAGTTTGCCTTCCTGTGTGGCACTAAGGTCAGCAGCAGTAAAGCTGGTTGCTCCAACTAACTCAGTACCGTAAGGGAACAGCAGCTGTTAATACCCTTTTTTGGTCTTCCACTGAGAATTAAAAAAACCCAAAGAAAGCAATACATGCCTTTCTGAAGGCTTTTGAGGTCAGTCTTGTCAGCGTTTATCTTTCCTCACCTGAAGGACTCAGTAAAACTCAGGTGGTTCCGTTTACTCAGTTATCTTAGAATATCCAAATCTGAAAAGGACCCACGAGGATCATCAAGTGCAGCTCCAGCCTCTGCACAGCACCACCTGAAATCCAAATCCTATGTCTGAGAGCAGTGTCCAAATGCTTCTTGAGCTCTGGCGGCTTGGGGTTGTGACCACTGCCCTGGGCAGCCCAGCAACCCCTGGTGCTGAACCCCAACGCTCCCCTGACACAGCAGCTCTGTGCTGTTCCCTCACCAGAGAGCAGAGCTCAATGCCTGCTCAACACTACACTCGTAGCCAACAAGCATTACCAGTTTGTGGTCATTCACCTGCTTGCAGCCATCTGCTTTTCTTCACATTTACTTGCTCTTGCATACGTGTTATGGTCAACAATACTGACAAAAATACTGTTTTATAAGTAATTCTATTCATTACAATTTTAAAATAATTCACTGAACAAAACTTATTTGATTCAATACAGGAAACATAATTCCTAAATGATGAAGAAGTTGGTAGCTTGATGTTAGAGTCCCTCTCTTGTTCTGTAGGACACACTTTTATTGCTCTTTGTGAGTTATTCAGCACCAAGCAAAGGTGCAAGTGTTCACATCAGAAATCATGGCTAACATGTAAATGTAGAATTAGCAATGTTTGTTTTCCACCTGTTCTTGAAAACAGAAGCTGAAAAGAGTGAAGACTCCTCTGGCTCAGCTGGGCTGTCATGCTTGCATCGGACCTACAGCCAGGATTGCAGCTTCAAGAACAGCATGTACCACGTAGGAGACTACGTCTATGTGGAGCCTGCTGAAGCCAACTTGCAACCTCACATAGTCTGTATTGAGAGGCTATGGGAAGATTCTGCTGGTAAGGGTGCTTTTCATACAGAAAGACAATACAGTGAAGCTTATTACTGTTTCCATCTTCAAATTTGAGCCTTTTTTGTGTTAACTATTGGATTTGCAGAAATGCGTGGACTGCTGAGTATTTTTTCTTGTTTCTGAGTTGCTCTGTCCCAAAATAATTATGAATAGAAAGTTCTTGGATCAACACATGCTTTTTTTTTTTATCTTCTCAACTCATCCCCAAATTGTCAGCATCTCAGAAAATAGGCATTTTGAAGTGGATTGAGCTTCTTCTAATTTAGATGCAGAAGGATGGCAATAGAAATTTCTGAACCAAAGTTGGACACGTATAACTGCAAATGTTGGAAGCCATTTGAAGGCTTGGAAGTAAAAGATAGCTATAAATAAGTTGCAGAGTCTGTTTCCTGTAAATGATCGATTCTGTAGATCTCAGCAAAACAAAGATGAAATTAATTCTTCTGGGGGGGAAAAAAAGTTTGCAGGATTTCTAAGAAACCTAATTTTCTTTACCCAAAGCAGTTAAGGAATCTTTCTTTCTTAAATTGGTTAAATTTGTTTCACTGATTATTATGTGGCTATCTGATAAAGAAAACCGTTTGCAGTCTGTTTTGCTTCTTCATGCACTAGAGAATACACGTTTTTAGATCTTTTCCTTTCTTCCTCTCTTTTTGTTTCTTTTTTAAAGGAGAGAAATGGCTATATGGCTGTTGGTTTTATCGACCAAATGAAACATTTCATCTTGCAACAAGAAAGTTCTTGGAGAAAGAGGTTTTTAAAAGTGACTATTATAATAAAGTTCCAGTTAGCAAAATTTTGGGTAAATGTGTGGTCATGTTTGTTAAGGTGAGAAACTCTTTGGACTAATTTGTTTATTGACTTAATATGCTCTGTGCTGTTTTCTTGAGGAGGTGTAGGTGCTCTGATCTGTAGGCATTTTAGCAACACTGAGATAAAGTTTTAAAAAGGATTCGCTCCCATGTACTGCTTGTGTTTTTTGATTGCTTTGTAAGCTCCGTAGTTCATCCACATGACACTGATTTTCAGTGCTGGTTGCTTTTTGGAATCACTTACGAATTAGATGAGTAGATAAGGATTTTCTCAGAGAATCTATTAGAGAAATTGCAGGTAATGTCGTAAAGGCTGAAGAATACTTGAGACTCCCCTTGAGTGCAGTGTTGGTAAGAAGATGAAGTCTCTGCTATCTGTCCCATGTTTGATACCCTATTGTTCTTGTGAAACTGTACGAGAAGAACTCGGCAGGCAGGCTGTATCAGTCTGAAAAGGCTTCTGATAAAAGCATAGAGAAAGCTGGAGCGCATGAAAGGGAGTACGCTGTAATTCTGGTGGCTGCTGGGTGTGGGTACGTTGCTGAAATAGTTCACCTAAAAATGCCATCCTCTTCGTTCTGCAGGAATATTTTAAACTGTGTCCTGAAAACTTTAGAGATGAGGATGTGTATGTCTGCGAGTCGCGTTACTCCGCTAAGACAAAATCTTTTAAGAAGATTAAACTGTGGACTATGCCTGTCAGCTCTGTAAGATTCGTCCCACGGGATGTGCCCCTGCCTGTGGTCCGTGTTGCTTCTGTATTTGCTAATACAGACAAAGCAGAGGAGGAGAAGCACTCTGATACGTTAGATGACAGTAAGGTGGGAGAAAGTATCCTTCATCTCGAAAAGGTATGCAAGATGGAAAGGTTTGACAGGTAAAGAATGATGAACGAATGATGAACGAATGATGAACGATGATTAAGCCTGCACAACTTAGGTTTCTCAGCATCCAGCCCCGGGAAAAAATGTATATAATATTCATGTTTAAAGTTATTTTACATTCATTACAGAGACACAAACAAATTATAACCCGACTAAGCAAAAAGTGAGTTGTGTACCTATTTGCTAGGCTTTACAAAATGCTTTCTTGTGACCATGGTAAGGGTTATTTTTTTTTCCTTTACTGCTTCAGTAGAACATAATATTTCTACTAAAAACTTTGTTGCAATCCTGGAGAATCAGTGGATCTAAAAGTCTAATTTCAACTGACATTGATCCTAACCTGCTTTTTGAAGTAGTCTTTCAATAAAATTGTTAGTTGCAAGGCAGCAGTAAGCAGTACATAATAAACACTGTGGCTGGTTTGTGGTTAACAACCAAGTAGTTTACCTTCAAACTGCTTTTTTCTGCATAACCTACTAGGAAAACTGGTTTATTTTATTGTATTTAAAGTTATAAGGAAATATACTTTTTTAATTGTGTTAAATTGCAGTAAATTTAATTGTTTATATGAAATAAATTTGGAGTAATGAGATGAGTCTACTTTACATTCTGAGCACTCTAACAGAGCCTCAAAATGGAATGTCCAGCATTGCCACTTAGTATACACTGTGTGTATTACTGTATTTATTTGCTTCACGACAAAAGAAGAAATCCTTTCTACCAAGAGGATGAAAGCTTCTAAAGTCTTTTCCTGACACACACTGAGGGGATATCCTGTGTTTCCATTGGCTTTCTGAAATAACAAACAGAGAAGTCAAATGAAGCTTGAGGCACCAAAGAGAAATTAAAATAGAGCAAACTGCATGATTCTGTTCTTAAAAGCATGGAGCAGTTGTGTAACTGTGATAAATGATCATTACACTTTTATTTCTTTTAACTTCACCAAATACTGAATTCTTGCCTTCTGTAAGTTTTAGTGTCCTTTAAAACAAACCATCAAAGTAGACAGATAAGGCTTCAAAGTTTATGACTTTGTAGTAATAGCACAAAAAAGGATCTGTGAATTACTGGCAAAATTACAGCTTTGATTATGAAATAGAAAGGCTTGCAACGTACATAGAGGGATAGTTCTGGCTTGGATATTTCATTTTCTAAAGTCCAAGTCCCCTAATTTTTGCTTTTACTTGTCTAGTTGGTGTGTTGCCTATTATTGGTGACATAAAGGTGGAGCAAATACTCTTCTCCTTGCACCTGGCATCATTGTGTTTAGTTTCCGTTGTCCCACAAGTTTCTAAGTGCATTTTCTTTTGCAGGACAAAGAAGATGTACCAGTAGAAATGTCTAATGGGGAGCCTGGTTGCCATTACTTTGAGCAGCTCTGTTACAACGACATGTGGCTTAAGGTTGGGGACTGCGTCTTCATAAAATCGCACGGATTAGTGCGGCCTCGGGTAGGGAGGTGGGTAACACTTCTTTATTGCAGTTTGTGTCTATCAAAATACATTGGCCAAAAGACTGGATTATTGCAAAAAAATGTAGAAGAGGATGGGAGAAAAAAATCTTCTGAATGAGACTGTGTTAGAAGCTCTTACTGGGCTGAGGTGGAATTGTGTCAGCCTGTTAAAAAAGGTAACGGCTGCGCAGTCAGAGCAGGCTGCACTTCAGTACTTGTTTCGTGCCCACAGTCCTCCTGAACAGCCCAGTGTATCTAGCTTACTCCCTTAGTAAGGATGGCCTTGCACTGATGTCAGTGATATGTTTTTCTTTCCAGAATTGAAAAGATGTGGGTGCGAGATGGAGCTGCGTATTTCTTTGGCCCAATCTTCATCCATCCTGAAGAAACTGAACATGAGCCAACTAAAATGTTCTACAAGAAGGAAGTGTTTCTGAGTAACTTGGAGGAGACCTGTCCTATGTCGTGCATTTTGGGTAATTCCTAGCGACTTTAAACCCACTGGGCACTCTGTACATTTAAAAGAAAAAAGCAAACAAAAATCTGAAGTCAGAGAGTAGAAAACTCCATTATTCTTGCTTATTCATGTAATTATTCCAGTATATGTACCTGGAAAGTCAGCTCAGAAGGAGGCTGATATTTGGTTTGTTGAATAAGATGACTGTTACGTACTTCATTCTGTAATTCAGATGCATTGTGACTGGCAATGGCTTTCTTTTGTTAATCTTTTAATTTTATTTTTTTTCTTTAAAAAAAAATACTCCAAAAGCTGCATTCAGTTGGTGTAGGTTTCTCATGAGTGACATTATTTAACAGAGATGTCAGTTGATGTATTTTTCCACAGCTGGGTCAGATGGGCTGATACTTACATGACTAGTGAAAATTTGAATTTCCACCCCTTGTTGTAAAGGATCTGCCTTCTTACCCAGCTCTGTTCATTTCTGCAGGCAAGTGTGCTGTTCTGTCGTTCAAGGACTTCCTCTGCTGCAGACCAACTGAAATTTCTGAGAATGATGTTTTCCTGTGTGAGAGCCGCTACAACGAAAGCGACAAACAAATGAAGAAATTTAAGGGGCTCAAGAGATTTTCACTCTCTGCAAAAGTTGTCGATGATGAAATATACTATTTTAGGTAAAAATGTTATGGGAATGTGGAGATCTCCTGAGCACTCTGTGTTGAGGTGTGTTGGCCCACCCAGCAGCTGAGCCCCTATGCAGCCACTTGTACATTTCCCATAGCATGAGGAGAAAATGAAAAGGGCAAAAGCAAGAAAGTCTTTTGTTAATATAAAGGCAGTATAGTTACTGATGCAAAGCTATGCATGCAAGCAAAGCGAAATAGGAATTCTGTACTTCCCATCAGCTGGCAGATGTTTAGCTGCTTGCTGGAAAGCAGGGCCTCAGCACAAGCTGTGATTTCATGGAAAGGCAAATGCCATAACCCCACATCCATCACCTTCGTTTCAGTCAGTTGAATATGGAGATGGTTAAGGCCAGGTTGGGAGGGCCCTAGGCAGCCAGATCTCTAGTGGGTGGCCATCAGCCCCTGGCAGAGCTTGGAACCTTCAAGCTCCTTTTCAGCTGGTACCATTCTGTGGTTCTGTATCCCTTTAGTCAGTTGGGATCAGCTATCCTGCCTGTCCCCCCACACAGCTTTTTTGCCTGTTCCCAGCCTGCTCACTTTGAAAATGTGGAGAGAAGTTGGTTTTCTCTTCAAAATATTTGCTGTGCCTTGTTGAGTATGAGTGTATTCTCAACTTCCTTGTGTCTTCCTCCTGTACCTTTCAGAAAACCCATAGTTCCTCAGAAGGAACCATCTCCACTTCTGGAGAAGAAAATCCAGCAGCTAGAAGCAAAGTTTGCTGAGCTGGAAGGAGGCGATGAGGACATGGAAGAGATAGGAGAAGAGGAAGGTGATATCACTGAAACACCTTCCATGCCTCAGCTTCAGACCCCGTTATCTAGTGAATTGGATATCATGCCTTATACTCCACCGCAGGTAAACATGTTCCTTGAGGGACCTTTAAGTGCTGATATTCCTCATTCTTACCTCAACCCCATTAAACAAAATGCAATAGTGTTTTATCACATCTACAGATTTATAGTTTGATTTACTGGTCTGTGGAGTGATCACACAGAGCAGTTTTAGCATGTCCAATACGATATCCATATTCTAATTATTGAGTCAGTTAAAATAGTTTTAAAGGAAATCATTCAGCTGAGGAAAATCTCGCAGGGAATGTTCTGTAGATGTCAGTGTTGTTTTTTCCATTAGTATGTTTTCTGTGACACTTCTTATGAAATAATAGGTATTTTTATCAACTATAAGATTAGGATGCAAGAGTTTAATTGTAATACTTAGGTAACCTGGCATCCATTTTAAAGCTTTTCCCTACATCTTGTAAAAAGCTGGACTGGAGTGTTGGAGTTCTGACATGTTTCATTTTTTAGAAAATGCTGCACATCATTATTGAAGGAAAAAAGATCGCTCCTTTCAGTTACCATTCATACTTGAAAGTCAGAACTTGAGAGGAAAAAAAGTGATGAAAACTTTTTATGTGTCTTGCTGTACATCGCAGAAACTTTAATGTGCTGATACATGGGCAGGAGACAAATCAGAAACCATGTGGTTACGTGGCATTTGAACGTGCCATGAGTCATTGCTGCTGCTTAAACAGGGCATTTTCAGTCCTCCCTCTCTTACTGCTTCTCTCACACAAGCCCTGGTATTTATGTAGCTGAGTACTGAAGTAGAGTGGGAAACTTTACCTGCGAGTTAATCTAACCAAAAACATTTGTTTGCAACTGGATGAAATTATTTTATTTGTTTCATCACATTCTCACATTTAAGTTAATGCCAGCCTTAAGAAGGCAGTGGGAGTGATGTGCTGGGAACAAGAGGGAGTTTGGGATGTGTTTGTAACCAGCAGTCTGGATTTCTGCTGTGTCATACTAATTCTGAAGTGACAGCCTCATTGGCAGCTGAAGAAACGATGTGACCACTGGGTAGAAATAACTGTCTTTGGATGTGACACACATGTACACACATTGATGAAATTCACTGCTTTACCTTGGTTTGTTTGTGATTATTTTTTTTGCTGTGTGAGCAGACCACCAAATGCATTTGGTGCAGCTGTTGTTCTGTTCTTTTTTAGTGCTGTGTTCTTAAGTAGCATAAGAATTCTTGTTAAGTGCTCAAAAAAAAAAAAAAAAAAAGATATTGTGTTGTTAATCTGTATTAACTAACATAATTTTGTAGGAGAGGGGACTGTGGCTGCTTATGCATCAAGATATTACCATTGCAGCTCCTGAAAGCAGTTTAAGTAGGAATTGCTGGACATTAAAGAATTCCTCGCGCTGCCTTTTTGCAGCATTCGCTGTCTTCTGCTCTCCTTTGCTTTCTGTCTTCCAGTATGGCTGTTTTGTTCAGATCTCTTGAGATGTTTTATTGAGGAACTAATATATAGTGTCTTTTTAAAAAGCCATATTTGAAAGCTGCATTTCTTTGAATTGTTTATAATGGGATTTCTAGGGTAACTGTTGAGAAATCAGTGGAAATATCCAACGTGTGTCTTTGTACTTCAGCCAGATGTGATCTCTGAAGACTAGAAATTGAAGTGGGAAAAGAAAGTAAGAAAAACTGAAAAGGGTCAAAGAGCAATGCAGGCTGAAAGTAAAGAACGATTCTTAAGGGCCCCTGGGAGATTCCTGATGCTGCTGATGTGGAAAATAAAGGACGCTGTGTCTGAGCTGCTACACAAAGGACAATATAACTGTGGCAGAGTGATTGCAATCGCATAGCACAGAAATGAACCATCTTTGTTGACCTATTGTAATCTGTTCTATTTCTGTCCCCTTTAAAATAAGTTCTTTTAAACAGAGCTCCTAGGTAAAAGGCACACGATTGCTTCACGTTCTCTTAAAGATATGCAATTTATCTAACAACTAAAAACCCTGATGGTTTTTACCCCTTTTTCCTGGTAACAAAAGAAGCAAGTATTACTCCTGAAAATTAAATGAGTCAAGCCAAGTCAAGCTTGACAGATGAGTGGATGTTGCCTTCCCGCTGCTGTTTGCTGTGAATCAAGAAGCAGAATGGGAAGGGAAAAAAAAAAAGTGCAATTTTAGTTTTGGTTTTTGCTTTATCATATGGCTGTGAAATGTTGTACGAGAGGGTCTTGGTTTATTTCTTCTCATAACACATCTAAAACAGTTACCTGGCTGGAGTGGAAAATATTCTGTTAGAAATTGTCATAGCAGCAATGTAGAGTAATGGAAAACGTAAGAATTGAATTTAGAATTCTTAAAAAAAAAAAAAAGTCCTGTTATCTCTCCCAAACTGATGGCCTGACCTTCAAGTGTAATAACACGACTGTTATTAATACACTACTGCAAGCATCGCAAAGCAAAACCAGCTGATACATTTGTGTCTGTCTAAGTGCAGAGGCCAAGTCATACAATTATTAAGGTTGGAAACTATCTCTAAGATCATCTAGTCCAACCATCTACCTGCCACCAGTATTGCTCACTATGTTCCTAAGTACTACATCTACCCTTTCCTTAAACACCTTCAGGGACAGTCAATCCACCGCTCCCTTGGACAGCTTGTTCCAATACCTCAGCACTCTTTCTGAGAAGAAATTCTTCCTAATATCCAGTCTGAGCCCCCCCCGGTGCAACTCGAGACCATTCCATCCTGTCCCATCCCTAGTTGCATGGCAGAAGAGACTGACCCCCGTCTTGCCACAGCCTCCTTTCAAGGAGTTGTAGGAGTGATAATGTCTTCCCTGGGCCTCCTCTTCTCCAGGCTGAATAATTCCAGTTCCCTCAGCTGCTCCTCATAAAGCTTGCACTCCAGCCCCTGCCAGCTTGGTTGCTCTTCTCTGGACATTCTCCAGGGCCTCAATATCTTTCATGTAGTGAGAGGCACAAAACTGAATACAGCACTCGAGGTGTGGATTCACCACTCATGACCCGTCACCAGCTGAATTTTGATCTCTATTCACCTCCACTCTCTGGGCCCGGCCCTCCAGCCCCTTCTTTACCCAGCACAGTGCGCCTGTCCAAGCCCTGCCAGCTTCTGCAGGAGAGTGCTGGGAGAGACAGTGTCAAAGGCTCGGCTGAATTAAAGGATGTCTGTGCCAACAGCCTTTCCCTATCCACCAGGTGTGGTGGATTTGGAATACATATTCCATATGTATAACTGGATTTTCCTTTTTCTGAACTGAGAACTTCTGAGAAGCTAGGTTATGTTCTGCCTGCACTGTGTGGGGTTTTTCCTTCGTTCTCCATCATAGAGACTTATCTAAAGAATTCCTCCCAAAAAGCTAAGTGTTATCCCTGGTTTGTAATGAAAACAGCAAGGGTAGATTGCTATTTGAAAATGAATGCAGTGATGTTTGTAGTAACATACTGTTATGCCTCAGTTCATGCACCACTTGGCTTAAATTATGAACAGGGCTTTCAGAGTCTTGGTGTAGCTGAAGCTTTGCATTTCTCTGAGAGATAGGCATTAGACATTTTTCCCCTGCAGATGTTTGGAAATGATTGTACTGCTCACAGTGTGAGAAATTTGTAATGCTGAAGACGTGGGGAGAGCCTTCTGAAGGTTTTGGTCTGATGAAGCATTTTGGGCCTTACTGGTCACACAGTGGGTGGGTTATGGTCTCCTGCATCTAATGGCAGGTGTTACCTTGCTGGTTGTCAGAGTAGGTTGAATTTTTTGATGGCTGGAGATGTCAAAGAGCTCTCAGCAGGAGCAGTCTGGATGATGAGAGCAAAGGAGACAGATCTTTAGTGGAATAGAGGATTAGTTACCCATCAACAGGGAGGGCTGTGAACCTGTGTGCAGGTGGCAGTGAAATTGGGCACTGTTTTTCATTTCCAGGGATAAATGGGTATTTAGGAAATGTGAGAGGAGCAGTAGAAAGGAAAGTTTGACAGGCAAAATGAAGAGCCCTCAGAAATGCGAAATTAGGGGATGGCACCAAGGAGATGAGAGGTGCAAAAGCCCAGGATTAAACGTGAAAGCCATTTCATAGAATGTGTGATGGCAAATGAAGTGTTCTACTTGGCTCGTGTTGGCAGTATTTCTGAACAGCAAAATAGATGACATATGAAATTAGTACAATTGCTTGTATTCTCTTTTTGCCTTCTAAATAGTTGCTTCCTATTCAGTACTTCTGAGCCCTGTGGGTTAATTTGAAATGACCTCAGCTAATAGCAATTGTTCTGTGCTGAGTTACTGCATGCTTTTGGAAGCCGCAGTTATAAGGTTGGCCTTATGTCTGGAAGGGTTAAAAAGCATCATGTTATTGTGTTTTGCTTTTTACTTTTGTTGTTACTGTGGGGTTTTTTTCCCCACTTGAGTGTTTTCTGTAAATGCGTGTGTTCTTGTCGCTCACTGGGAAGCGTAGTCTCTCTTGAGAGGCTGTAAGGTTGGCTGGCCCTCGTATGGATGTACAAGAGAGAAAATTGGGGATATATTTACATGCTATTTCCTACAGCTTTTACTTTTTTAATGTTAAGAAACTTCTCTGTTGTATACTTGTGGTCATAACTGCTTTTTCTCACAGTCCACTCCCAAGTCTGTTAAGGGCAGCACCAAGAAGGAGGGATCAAAAAGGAAGATCAACATGAGTGGTTACATCCTATTTAGCAGTGAGATGAGAGCTGTGATTAAAGCTCAGCACCCAGACTACTCCTTTGGAGAGCTCAGCAGGCTTGTAGGAACTGAATGGAGAAACCTGGAAGCAACAAAGAAAGCAGAATATGAAGGTAAATAAAATACAAAATGTTAAACTTTTTTTTTTCTACTTTTTCTCTCTGAACATGTTCATTACTGTTACTCAGATGACCGGTTTTATAAAAGAAGATGGTTATCACAGAATCACAGAAAGTCATAGAATTGTAGAAATCATAGTTATCGCAGGATGGCTTGTGTTGGAAGGGACCTTCACTGTCCTCTAGTTCCAATCTCCCTGCTGTAGGCTGGCTCCCCCCGCCAGCTCAGGCTGCCCAGGGCCCCATCCAACCGGGCCTTAAGCACCTCCAGCACTGGGGCACCCACAGCTTCTCAGGGCAGCAGTGCCAGGGCCTCACTGCCCTCTGAGTGCAGTTACGTTTGTGTTCTGGGAGTACCTTGAAGAGAAGTTGTATTGAGCGATGACTGAAGAGGAGCAAAGAGAGGCTTAAATTGTGCAATGCACAACTGATAATTCAGATGTCTTTGCCACAAATAATCAAATGAGCCAAGATAAAAGAAATGTGGAAAATGAGGAGCAAAAGGGCTCAGTGCCCTTATCAGCTGAAAACACAGCTTGTAAAAGTTTCCATATGGGAGGGCTTTCGAGGGGGCTGCAAGAAAGGGATCTTTGGACAAGAAGCTCTTTGGAGCTGTAGTGCCAGGTAAGAAAGCTTACAGTGGAGTGGGAAAAAGTTCTTCAGTTAACTGTACTGAGAGTCTGAAAGAGTTCTGTTTAAAAAAAAGAAAAAAAGAAAAAGAAGTATAGATTCAGTTGCAGTGCTGTAAATATGACCTGTTATTCAGTCTCAGTATTAATCACGTGTTGTAATTTTGCTGAGAGATTTTGAAACCTTATGCCAGTAAATTTCATAAGTGTGAGATTTACTTTAGAAAGTCCGTTCTCTCCTTCATCCTCTCTTTCATCCTCTCCATCCTCTCCTTTGTCCTTTCCTTCATTCTCTTCTTCCTCACTGATACTGCTTACTGTGTGTCATTTTATTTGATCAAAGTCTCAATACAGTTGATCCTTAACAGCAGGCCCTATGAAGTCCAATACAGTGGTTTGACATTCAGTTATTTTTCTAGTTAGCAATGTCTGAGCATTTCTAATACAAAGCCCAGTTTTTAAGCAACTGTTGCAGTTTTATTGGGAGAAGATATTACTTCGGTTAGGGAAGTTTCAACACCCTAGGAAGGTATTGCTCAATTAAGTTACAATATTACTTTTAAGAGGTGAGATTTGGTTAGGTTTTTTTACACGCTTACAGTTTATGGTACACTTTGATCCTCAGACTAGAAGTTTGTGTGCTGTCACTTCACACCCTCAGCCTCCTCAATCCTTCCTGAAGTGCTGGAGGGTAATACAGCAGGACTGCATGCGAGTTGCCTTTGCGAATGTTGTCAAGGGAAGTGGTAATGCTGTATGTGAAAGTAGTATGGTCTTTCTTTTCCCTGTTGTAGTCTCCTATTTCACCATTCTAGGTGCGTCTGATACATCTTATTGCCAGGTCCCTCCCTGCAGCCTTGCCCAAGCAGTAGGATGGCTGGCATGTCCTCACTTCTAGCGTAGAGCAGCTTGCTGCTCGCACTTCCACCGTAATGTGACAGCAGCAGCGTCTGTCCTTTGTGTAAGCCCACGTGCTTCCATTTCAGCCTTCCTCCTTACTTACATTTTTTCCAAAGCTTTTGAGTTTTGAAATGCAGTTTCTCTGACTTGCTGTCTGCCCAGGGACAGGCTTGCTTTCATTTGGTTTTGAAGGGTTGCAGTGCTGTTCCTCAGGGTCCAAACTCTTTGCTTACTCCTGTGCATGAAAGGAGAGAAACTCTGCTCCTTCCACTGTGACAGTGTGAAATTCATGCACTCCAGGGTGGGCCGAGAGTAGGGAGCAGATATGGTTTGACATTTCAATAGTAAAGTGCCTTTCCCTGATCTGCTGGGAAAGCAGTTTGCATTTTTGATCCATTTTGATCTACTGAAAATTTCATTTAGTATATGCACAGAGTGATGGCTGTTCTTTAGCAGTAGGCAAATAAAGAGCTGGCTGCATTGGAAGTGCCTGCATGGCTAACTGCACCATGAGAACTCCTTAATATGAAAGAGTATGTGGGGTTTGAGGCCAAGGCTTGTCTTTAAGGAGAGGTCTGTTCAAAGCAGAATGTCTCTTTCCTGTCTCTTGAGATGCATTGGAAATGGCATTAGAATGATTTCAAGTCCTAGCCTGAATGATGCGAGTGTGAAGGTGAATGCTCCAGGCCAAACTTTCAGAACTCCTAAGTTCCCTCTGGCAGTATTGTTCCATCTGTTAGTTCAATGGTAGACAGGGACAGATCAGGTAAAACTTGAATGTTGTCCTATGTCACATTCTCAGAGGCTCAGCACTCCAAAATCTGATAAAACTGAATGCTTAACAAGAATTTCTCATTCATCAAAATGTCTTCAAAACTTTTGCTTTTGTCTGACTGTTATTTTCACTGGCCAAGAGTAGTTGAGAGGCAGAACAGCTACTTTATCTTTTCTCTAAATGCTTGCTGTACTCTTAAGATGATTATCTCCATTTTCTACTTCAGGATTTGCCTTTAAACGTCTCATGTATTTTGTGGTCAGTCACATGTGAGTTGCCTGTAGTGTACGTAGGAGTTCCTGTGCGTCGTCATCTCCTTCTGAAATGACACAAGTGAAAAGGAAGGAAATGCCTTTGGAAATGAAACCAGTCTGACAGTGCATGGCAGTAGTGCTAGGTGTTGCACAGGTCCTCCGGGACACCAATGCATGGTGAACATTTGCAGTCACGTACTTGAAAAAACTAAGTAGCCTTGGCAGGATGCATGTATAACGTGATCTCCTTGATGAACTTTTTAGCCTTGTTTGACTGAGGACCTTGGTTGCTGTTTTAGTGACAGTTCTCATCTTTCACCAACTGCAAGAGAACTTCCAGCCCTGCATTCACTGTTGTTAACATTTGCTGGAGATGTATGCTGCATTCATTTATCCTTTGTTGTTCCTCATTGCGTCAGTAAGAGATGATGTTCAGAGTGAACAACCAGCAACTTGCATGCTCCAGAAGCACCTTCAGTGGGCATTCGGTATACCTTCTTTTTTGTTTGCTTGGGGTTGTTTTTTGGTTCTCTTTTGTTGTGGTTTTTTTCTTTCTTTCTTTCTTCTTCCCATGACCCTTTGCCCTTCCCTCGATATAAAATAGTCCTCCGGTCAGATTCCCCTGCTGTAGTTCTTTTGTTCCTGCAGTCATGGCAAGAAACTCGATTGAGATAATGACCAGATTAATCATACAAAGGACACACATGGCCTCCAGTGAGCAGCTCAGTGTGAGTTAGACATCTTCAGGAAAAATAAAATTAAAAAATCTGAGGGAACAAAAACGGGGAAAATGACAGAGGCAGAGCAGATATTTTTGGTTCATCAAACTGCTGCTTGTTATATTCCAAATGCTAAAGAACCTATCTACTCTAAGAAAACTTTGCAAATGCTTCCCAACTTTGCCACCATTTTTCAGCTGTATCAGTAAAACAAAAAACAAAACAACAAAAAAAAAGCACAACAACAGCAAAACCGCCACCAATGAAACAGCAGTGGGGAGCACAAAAAGAAATGGGCCACTGGCACTGCTGGCTGCTATTTGCACCTTGCTCTGGGGCACTGGCTGGCAGTGCTGACTGAAGCTGGTCCAGCTGAGCCAGTGGTGTCCAAAGAGGGGAGGCTTTGCCATGTTGTCCTGGTGCAGACTTAGCCTCGTGCTGGACTGCTGCTTCACATTGGTAACACTGGTGTTGTTATCCAATTTGTTCCTTTAAAATTTTTATTTTATTATTTTTATTATTATCAATATTATTTTTTAAGAAAAAGATAAAACTTTGTGGAATATTTTTCATTCAGGGTTCTCTAGAAGTCTTAGCTGCAGCCACATGAAATCAAATCATATGCTGGTTACAAAGATTCATCTGTTCTACTTTATATTTTACTAAAGTATGCCAGTGTTTGACTAGACCTTTTTAATGAACAGATAATATTTTGAAACTCTGGGTTACAAAACAGAACTGAAAATCTAAAATACTTTTACAGAGCGGGCAGCTAAAGTTGCTGAGCAGCAGGAGAGAGAGCGAGCAGCACAGCAGCAGAATCCCTCCCCCCGGGCAGGCACTCCTGTCGGGGCTCTTATGGGGGTGGTGCCGCCACCAACACCAATGGGGATGCTCAATCAGCAGTTGACACCCGTTGCAGGTAAAACGTAGGAGCTACGACCATTTTTCCTCATCCACTATATCAACCCCCTTCATAACTGAACACACTCTTGGGTCACTTTGTTCTTACGGAGGAAAACGCTCGGCCTCTTCAGTCTTCCTTCACGGTGAATATGCGTATCTGCAGCAGTAGGGTGGCAGCCCCAGTGCCCTGCCCCAGCAGTGGGCGTTCTGGTGGAAACACAGGGAAGAAGCCTCCTCCTTGTGAGGCAGGCCTGTGCTGTTTGCAGTATGTGCTGTATGCAGTTATGTATGCAGTTATGTTTACTGGCTCTACTTTGCAGAAGTCGTGTTTGATCTCGCTGCAGCAGTGGTGCTGGGAGCTGAATACTCTTTGAGTGTAAGCTGCATCAGCGGAGGTGGTTCAGGAGGAGACAGAGGACTTGTTTTTGTTGTCGGGATGTGAGAGGCAAAAGAAAATCCAAACCAAATTTAATATCGAAACTCCAGAATTATGATTAGACATGAGTGCAGCTGGCCAGGTTCTGGAGTCATTGCAAAACCAAGTATGAAATGTCAGCACTGCTGGTTTTTATCAGGTGATTTGCAGAATAGACCTAAGCTTTGAGAACTCTTCTCTGTGGTTCCTGTTGGTTTTTTTTCTTGTTGCCAGTCATACTCCAACTTGACTCATAGGCAGTGAGTCCAGGTCCTACGTGAAGACTGCATAGTCCATAGGAAGTTCTTTTATGAGAATCAGCTGTACATCTGCGAGAGGATGGATTAGGTCTGACCTGATGGGTTGCTTTTCTTCTCCCATTTCTGATTAGGAAGGATTGGGTAGCATCAGTCAAGGTTGAAATAGTCCTGAGTTAGGTAAAAGTGAATATTTGGATGAATGACTAGTTTTTTGTTTTCTTTTTGTTGTGTGGTTTGATTTGGTTTGTGAGTTCTTGGTTGTTGGTTTTTTTTTTAACTTAAGGCATTCAAATTATTCCATTTATTCTTTTGTTCTTTTTTCTTTCCCGCCTTGCAGGCTGTGGCCATGCTTAGAACTGATGGCCTGAAGTATTTTTCATCCTGGTTTCTAAACCCTTTTTCAGTGCATTGGTTGGAGGGATGCTTAGACTGAAGGCATATCTCTTACATAGTTTACCACCTCCAGGTTACAAAAGCAGTTGTTTATACTGATATTTCTTTTTGCCTTAAAAAAATAAAATGTAAGAAACGCCTTTGTTCTTTGAACACCTTTCAGATTTCGTGTCTTGCGGTGGTGTTTGTGTGCGTGTGCATAGATTTCAAAAAGAAAGAGAAGGAAAACTAGCTCCAGTTCTGGTCGTCTTTGTGAGCAATCTTTGATCTAGATGAGGTGGCGATGACTAGGAATGTCATCATCTCATGGTTGTTTTTTATCTTGGTTTGGTTCCTGCTTTTTCATATTGTCACATTTCCAACTATGTGTGTTCCCTGCCATCCTGCAGCAGCCTCCTCAAAAAGCACACGTCTGTTCAAGGCCGTCATCTTACAGTTCAAGCAGTTAGAAGTTCAAGTCTCGTTACTCAGCCATTGTGAAATACTTCTTTAGGAGGATGACCGAGTGGATCTTTATAAACTCTTGCTGGTTTTGTCCCATTTGCAGTCTTTCCTCTTTTGGTTTCCACAAGCCTCTTATTCCATGCAGACTTTTCAAACCTTCCTCCATCTTTGAGTCACAGTTTTAAGCCCATCTTTAAGTCACGGTTGCTTTTCTCTGTTTCTGAGATCTTTTTCATCGTAAGACTTTTTTACAGTCCACAGGTGCAAGAAATCATGATGCCTTCTGAGGTGCATTTCTCTCAGCACACAGTGCTCTAGTTGCTTTCAAATTCAGGAGCTACAATAGCTTATTTAATCTCACATTGTTACAGTTCAAAGAAATGGGAGGAAGAGTAAGTTGAAAGGCAGTAAATCACAGCTGTGGGAGCTGAAAATAGTTCACCAGGTATACTAGTTTAAAATCAAAGTGATAATTTGTACGTGAGGAATGACAGTGGCTGTTTGTATAACCTTGTGATGAGCTAAAAAAACAGATTTCCTATGGAGACTTTTCTACGGTGTCATTAATCTAATCAGCTGCTCAGTATTTTGTTTGGAAATGCAGGAATGGGCTTTTGTGATGGACAAAGATGGGTTTGTTTCATTGGAAATTTGGTTCTGTTTTGTATTTTTTCTGGATTTTGTTTTGTTTTTTCTTCTCTTTAAAAGCTTCAGAAGCTTACAGAGATACACTGATGGTGTGACTGCAGTGTGGGGTGCACTGCAAGTACCAGGCAGCAGCTACAGTAAAAGCACATTATTCCAGGGATGCTTTTATACTTTCTTCTTTTACTTCTGCCATTAGCAGTACAGATAGCACTGTATTGATAAGGTGGAACAGATAAGCTTCTAGATATATGAAATAGTATCCAAAATCAGTGTCAGTCTGGGTGTCCTGTGTATTCAAAGAAAATGAATGTTTGAAGATCAGTTCTTTGTTCCAAGTCAGGCTTTGGAATTGCAGGTTTCTCACCTTTGTCACCCTTGCTGGGCAGGTGACAAATCTGGCTCACATGTTGGAGCCACTCAAGCTGCTCGGATCTTGAGCTCACAACAGCTTTGCTGCTGAAAAATGTTCAGTCAGAGCTGATGTTGATTTGTTTTTTTTTCCTGACATTTTTATTCCAGAGATCTCTGCTTTGAAAGTTTCTTTTATGGGTTACTTGGAGTGTGGCAAAGACTTTGTAAGTTATTGCTTGGAGCAGGTTACAGAAAGCCCAGCAGTTCTTATTCCTAAACTTACCTTTCTTCTTTAGACTTGCTTCTGTCCCCTCTCAATCTTTTTGTTGCTTTTCCAACACCTTTCCTTGTTTCTCTGATTTAAAGGCCTAGAAAACAAACAAGAAAATAGGCAAGTTTAAGTTCTAGCAGCTAGCATTACCTGCATTGTCTGGGTGCACTTAAATGATGGCAGTGAACCTGAGTCACAACTGGAATCAGCCCTTAAGTCGTCTTCCTCACATGCTGAAAAACAAAATTATGAGCAGCAGTGCAGTATCTTTGTGTTCCCTATTAAGATGCTTTGAGAGCAGTGGGGTACGATGTGATTTTCAGCCAGGGGCCAGATGAGTCCTTGTCAGCTCTTTTACCTTCAGTCAAGTGCTGTGAGTGCAGGTCTGCAGCCCAGCACAGCCAGTGCTCTCCGGCCCCACGCTGTAGTGATTTCCTTGATTTGTACTGAAAATGGTATAAGAACAGTCATCCCTGTCACTGCCTTTGATTTTAAGCATATGGACTTTTAAATGGAAATTTTGCATATTCACTGCAGAAAAAACGTGTAGATCTTTATTTTTTCTGGTCAGGTCTCTGAGCCAGCCCACACAGCAGGGCTGTGTGCAGGGCTCGTGTAGTTAGTGTCGTGTCTGTAACCTGTATGCAGATGGCAGAGCTTTAAGCCGCGTTAAAATCGCTTGTTAGTAACATTTAATTGTGGCTGAATTTATCCCTTGTGTTAACATGTCTCAGTATTCAGCATTTATTGCCCCCATGAGAAGCCTACGAATACACTAAATACTAATTCATCAACAGTGCAGTGTTTCATATCGATAACTTGATTTCATTTTTGCGAGATACTAATTGTAGTCTCGTCTTGCTCTACTAAGGGTGCTTTCGATTTCATTTTATTTTTTGTGGATAGTGCATGATTTACTGTATAGATCATATTGCATGTCATTGATGCATGTTTGAAATTTGTTGTGTCCTTCAAGGCATGATAAGTGGCTATCCACCGGTGCTGCCACCTTTGCAGGGCCCAGTTGATGGCATTGTTAGCATGGGCAGCATGCAGCCACTTCACCCAGGGGTGCCCCCACCCCACCAACTCCCGCCAGGTATGCCAGGCATCCCAGGCATCCCACCGCCCGGTAAGAACTCATCCTCATTCGCTCTGTGTTTCATTGTCATGTACTTGCTGTTAACTGGTTGTTACAGGAATTGTCTGTGGCTTGTTTTGTTCCTAGCGCAGTTGATTGTGCCTAAACTGTTGCAGGTTTGTTTAACTGCAGCACAGATGAATGCAGGGGGGTGCAAAGTGATTACATTGGCAGAATACACATCCAATAAAGGAACGGCAAAAGGCCGCTGGAGAAATGTGGGGCTGCTCCAGCAGTGGCTTTGCACCAGCCAAAACAAGCCTGAGAATGGCGTGAGTTTATCAAAGGTCTGACAAAGGGCAGTCAGCCCCTTCATACCCCTGTGTCATTTGAAGTTTGCAATGAGATGCACTGCTCTCCTTTCTTACTGAGCTCGTTGGCAGTGTTAGCTGACGCGCGTTCCGGCTGCGCTTTGATTCACCCAGCTGCATCAGAGCCCTCGGCCGCTGCGCACCATCATATGTTACTTACAGAACAGTGTGCAGATTGTGCCTTGTAGCTGGAACTGGAAACTTTTGGGGGTAAGGTGAACTGGCTGTGCTGCTGTGACCTAATTCTTATTTTTTGAACATATGTTTATTATGCATTTGCTGTTTTTTTTGCCACCCTGTTGTTGACAGGTAAGGCTGAACAAATGATACCAAACTTTCTGGCATTAATGCCAATAATGCCATTTGGTGGGGAAAATACACTCGCCTGCCCTCTCATTCTGTTGTCTGTGGGCTCTTCCCAGGTAGTTACCCCTGATAACTCAAGTGGCCTTTAGAGATGTGCATGCCATCCATTCAGCAGTTAAACAAGCTGTGGGCAGAAGCGCTCAGTTTGTCTCCCTACCCCCTTTGCAGCTACTTTGGTCGGAAGCCCTGCTGGGGCCGTATCTGTCTGCAGATCGCTGTGATGGTTGGATGTTGTTTGCTTGCTTTTGTTTGTTTTTCAACTCGTCAGTGTTAGCTTGCATCTTCACCAGCAGGCGAGATTCACCATCAGTTCACATAGAGTAGAAGTGCTGTGTATCTGAGCTTGCCTGCAACTCACCGCAGCGCTGACCTGTAAGCACTCAGCCGCAGCTTACAAATGTTTGGAGGCAACTCTGGGACAATGCATTTCTTTGCACAGTGCTTCCAGCTGGGCTGTGCATGAGCAAAGCAGTGCCAGGGATGGAGGAGCACGTGGGATGTGGTCCCATGTGTTAGATGGGGCTGGGTGGGCTCAGGATGAGGCTGTGCTGCTGGGCAGGTGAGGGTGCCCCCTCCAAACCTATTCACTTCGTACCAAAACAAAGATCAGTGCTATATCCCACAGCTTGCATTGTCAGTGTTTTTCCCAATGTCTGACTTAGTACAGATGCATTTAAGATGGGGGGTTGTAGTCAAATGGAAAATTAAGGTGATATGTGCTTTAGGTTGCAAAATGCAGTGACACGTCTTCTGGTCCCTGACACAGAATGCCTGCAAATTCAAGCCTTAGGAAGACTCTGGTTATTTTGCAGCTTTTGAAATGAAGGAATTAAAAAAAAAAATGGCATGAAGAAAAGCAGCAACACGCATGACTTTTTATGTATGTCAAATAGCAGGAACTGCACATTGTGATTTGTATGTGGGAGGCTTCTGCTGCATGGCATGCAGTAGGGAAAAGCCTCTTCATAAAAAAAATATGGGGAAAAAGCAAACCTGCCTTTGTGGCTTTGTTTTTCAAATATTTTTCTGTCTCTCATATGAGACTATTTAAGCTGAACCTGTAAGTGGCATCTTATTTATGTACATATTTACATACAGAATCTATGCAGTGGCTTGGCTTTACTTCCTGCCACGGTTGTATTTTATACCATTAAAAACCAGGAAATATTCAGTGTTGCTAAAGCAAATCAGCTTTTCCTTTGATGAGGATTTCAGGAGGATTGTGTCCAGCCAAAGGTATAACGAAGGAAATGATGTAGTCAGGCCACACTGGGTAAAGGAGGAAAAAAAGGAGTTTGCATTTCTGTAGCTAAATGAGATTCAGCAGGGCATACATCGATGCTGGGTCGTTGTTCTGGTGCCTTTTTTTTTTTTGCATTGAGAAAATTCCAAAGCGTTTTTTATTGTGGGAGAGTGGGATATTAGAATGTTCCCAAAACTGCTTTAAGCAATGATTTCAGAGTATAAATTTGCACTGCAAATTCGACCGAAGCGGTATTTCTCTCTGCTCTGAAGTAAGACTAATCGTTGTATATTTTGGAATATAGGTGTTATAGGCCAAAACGTGTCCCCCATGGTAGGCACTCCAGCCCCCGGTGCAGGTCCGTTTGGACAGCAGGTGAGTGTGAGTCCTTTTTGCATTATTTATGAGGCTCCCAGGCTCTGGATTAGCATTGCAACAATTAAGACGTGTAAGGAATGCACACAGCCTTATGCAGAGAGAACAGAAACCACAAATGCACAGGGCTATATTCAGAACCAGTTAATACCTCTCTCTCGGTGCCTGTTTGTATTTCTTGGTTGAATTGTTTTTGGACTAATTGGGTTCTGCCCAGTGAGGTAAGTTCTGCAAAATAAGCAAAACAGGCTTCTTTTCCTTTCTGCTGAGCTAATATAAGTCATGTAAACACACAGCTAAGCTGCTGGCAGAGGGGATGCTGTCCGTTTTCTCAGCCATGGCTAAGTGGATAAAAACTGCTTATTTTCTCCCAGATTTCACATACCAACAATGCAGATGTTCACTGGCCATTTACATCTGGGAGTTTCGATGCCAGTGATGATCAGATGTTCATTCTTGATGTAGATTAAATGTTCATCACACTGAGTTTTAAGGACTGCACTTGCATTTGGTGAGAGGGTGTAAAGGAGTACAGAAGTTGAGTGAGAAGGCAATAGAGCGAGTATGTCATTTCAGTGAGTTCCTTAAACCATGGGTTGGCTCTGCTAAGAGTTCTCAGTACTGCAGGTGAATGGCAGCAGTGGGAATTCCATAGTTTGGGGACTTTCGTGTGACTGCAGTTTTTGTCTGACCGAGATTAGCATTTATTCTGTGGAAGCATCCTGGTCTTGGATGAGGATTGCTTTGGATGATATGTTATAGAGAGCTCTAAAGCAAGCTAAACTCCGCACTTTGCACATCACAGATTTTCTAGTCAAATTTCAGAAGGCATGAAATAAAAACGATGCAAGGGGAGTAATTAAGGGGAGTGGGAGAGAGGAGAAATGGTGGTAGTGATGAGAAGCTGCCTTCTGTTAAATGAGGTTTGTTCACACATCTCTGTGTACGTGTCAGTGACCTCAACAGGTAAGGCTGCCTGGAGGAGGTTGCCTTCTAGGGAAATCTCTTACACCTTTGCTTATAACCAAAGTTCTGCTGTGTGAGGATGCTGTGAGGCACGGTGTGATCCATCCCTGCAGCTCCCCCAGATGCCATCTCTCCATCGCTTTGCCGTTGCAGATAGGAATCCTCGGTCCTCCAGGACAGCAGGCACCTCCCCCGTATCCCGGCCAGAGCCCCGCCACGCAGCCTGTTATGCAGCAGCCCTCGACTCCCATGTTTGTTTCCCCTCCACCAAAGACACAGAGGCTTCTTCATTCTGAAGCCTATCTGAAATACATCGAGGGGCTCAGTGCTGAATCAAACAGTATTAGCAAGTGGGACCAGACCCTTGCAGGTAAGGTTTTTGGCACAGAACGGGGTGTTTCCGTCTGGAACTCACTTCCTTGTAACTGAATACTCGTGGCTTTCACGGAAAATACCAAATTAATCTGCTGATTATTTCACAATTGCGTGTGTGTGTCAGTTTCATTAAAATCCACAGACAGGGAATATATGCTGTCAGTGGACTAATTCCATCGCTGGGTATAAATCTAATTATCCACTGCATGTGCTCGAACAAAAGAAATAGCGAAGAATTATTTCCCTTTTTTTTTTTTTCCCCTTAGAAAAATGCTGGCAGATATGAAGGGCAAAGCCAGCTTAGCAAAGCCAGGGATAACAAGGCTGTTTGTTCCCCTTTCAGCACGAAGACGAGATGTCCACTTGTCCAAGGAGCAGGAGAGCCGCCTCCCGTCCCACTGGCTGAAGAGCAAAGGGGCTCACACCACCATGGCCGATGCTTTGTGGCGCCTGCGAGACTTGATGCTGCGAGACACCCTGAACATCCGTCAGGCGTACAACATAGAAAATGTGTAGTCGCGTTCTTGCTTCTTTCTTTGATACTGGCATATAGAGTTTTGTGGAACAATAGCTGTTTTAGTTACTGGGTGGGGAGAGATAACCAACGATGATTTGTATTGCATTTTACTGTACATTGCGAGACCATTTTTATATAAGGACACTTTTAATAAGCATATTTCACTTTTTGTTATATTAAGTTGACTTTATCAAATACACAGATTTTTGCATATGCTTCCTTTGTTTGAAAGGCGATTTCATATTTGGTTAACTGTAGTGGAGGATTCATCTTTCTTACACTTTATTGCTGAGAATCTGATGCCATTGTTTTTATATAAAAGAAGAAAAAAAGAAAACAAAGTATTTACAGGTTGGTACAATGGAATGTGAAATTAGTCATAGTTTACATCCTAGAGGAATGTGTGTACATGTGCTTGTGTGTGCTAGGCGCTCCCAGCAGGAAGCTGACTTGGATATGAGCAGGGAGGATCTCTTTGAAAGAAGCTGAAGGTAAGGTGAGCATTGGAGCTAGGGAAAAACCACGTTGCAGGTAAATACTGAGGCAGCTGAATGGGCCGCAGCGATCGTGGAAGTGCAGGTGCAGATATGGGACAAGGCTAACCTGACTGCTAATGCTGTCCAGTCCTGTCCAGGCATTAAAGCTGCAGCCAAGGCCACTGTGACCCCAGATCAGTAGCAGAATACGTGTGCTGGCATGCCTGTGGGAGGTGAAATCTTTCGTCTGCTGTGACCTGCTTTGGGTGTTCTGAGATGTCCCTGACGCTGGGCAGCAGGAAGGGAACACCTCTACCTGTGCAGTGCAGTCTGCATGTGGGAGAGGCCACAACTTTGAACCACTGTGGGTCATGGAAGGTAAGTTAGAGGAGAGGGGAAGCTCTTTTGTTGGTAGAGTCACATGGTTTCTAAATCCACACATATTCTGTTAATGACTGGGCACCGTAAGACGTTTTTCTATTAAGTGTATTGATTCACACTAATGAAAGTTTTACAAGGCAAAATTTGAAATGTAACACATGAATTCAGTTTCAAAACAGTACTGTAAGTTCAGCATACCTTGTGCATTGGAGACAGAGTGCGTTGTGCATTGCAGCCTTCAGAGGGCTTTGTGCTTCTGTCGTTTAGCTCAGTAAGGTCATGTAGGCTCCTCTTGCCAAATGTTGAGGTTGTGACTGCCTTTGCTGAAGACTTCACTGTAGCAAACTAACCAACCTTTTGGGCTGCAAAGCTGTTTGCTTTCACAAGCTCCACTTTAGAGCTCTTGGATTGCACAAATTAACTGGGAAAACAGCACTAATTTGAAAAGCAAACAAACAAAAAGCTGTTGGCACAAACATGGTCTCTGCAACTCAGTCCAAAAGAATAATTTGCTGATATGCTTTCATACTGCTTCTAGAAATGTTTATCATTTGGAAAGGTGTTTCAAAGTCTGCTCATACAGAGCACTTTTGAGTTCATACTGGCAGAAGGTTGCATGTTTTTCTTCAGATACTGGGTTCTATTTGGTAATGCAATTGAATACTGATGAGGGAAGGGACAGGCAAGTATGAACTATTCTTAAATGGTACTGGCTAGTTCCCCTCCTGTTCCAGCCCTACATTCCTTGCACAGAAAACCTTATAATTAGAGGTGAGCACTTAGGGATGTTTTAGGACAGATGTACACTGGGATGCGAGGAAAAGGGAGCCAAGCAAAATCTTACAGGAAATTACAATGGACATCTCTACCAGTAGAGCACCTGTGGTACAGAAATCATTTACAAAGGCCAGTAAAGAACCACGTTTGTTTCATGAGGTAGGAGTACACCTAGACCTCCTGTACATACACACTGTCATCTTAGACCACATTTCAGTTACCGTAGGCTGTGCAGTTTTAGCCACACAGATGAGACGTTGAAGAGAATCGGGCAGCAAATCCTGGTTTCCAAGCACTTGGAATTACCGTGGGTTGTAGAAATACCACCAGATGGTCTTGTTCTCAGCATGAACAAAAACTACACCAAAGAACCTGGGATGGATTTTAGTTAACTTATTGTTCTATTTATTTTCTTTGGAGGACTGGATGGGACTCCCTCTGGAGCCCGTGTAACTCAGATGTTTAATTTATCTGAAGGCCGGCGGTGAGCAGACGTGCAGCACTGGCTCTGTTCTGCCCGGGCAGCCGAAATGCTGCTCCCACTGCTCTCAGTGCTCCCACTGCTCCCTGGCCCAGGGGCAAGAGGCTGGGAATCCCACGAAGCCTGGCTCCTCCTGTAAAGGCAGTGCAGAGCGCTACCTCTGAGCCACGGGGCTGGCCCTAATCAATTCTGATAAGCTTTATTTATTTCAAAATCGTGTCTCTGCATAGGAGACGTTTCAGTTGATGGCAGGAAGGTTTGGGATATGATGGCTACAGTCTAGAATTCAAAACCAGCAAAAGAAACTGTTTTTTTGACTCTGGTTTAAAAACAAGACAAGGAAAGACGTCTGTCTGTCTTTTCCTCTCTTTGTGGGCATTTGAACCCCTCGTTTGTTTTCCTCTGCTTTTCACTGTATCGGCATAAATGAAACTTTCCTATCGAAATAAATGTATGTGTGGGACATGGTTGGCTTCAGAGAGAGTGGAAACAGATCGACCTAGGACCGGCATTTTCATAAACCAGTTGGAGATGAGTAATAATTATTTGTTCTCTTCCTCAGCTCTTCTCTTCTATGAGAAAATTTACCATTTCTGTAAGAAAAAAAAAAAAAGTTGATGTTGGTGACTTTTTTTTCAGCTCATGGTTTCAGACCTGGTCAGTCCCTGTTTGGCTGCTCATTCCATCTTGTACTCCCGAGGGTTAAGCTGATAACCAGGTGTGTAACATGTATGTACCATCACTTTGTTTACCTGAGTCTTTTTAATTTGAATAAAAATAGTTTGCAAAGTGTTTTGGATTAACCAGGTTTGAGTGTCCCAACAGGCTTCTGGTGGGATTTTCCTTCAAGTAATTCTGGTTGGTGCTGACGCTATGGAATCCTCCCTGCATGCATGCATGCGTGTGGGTGAAGAATCTTTTTCTGTTCTCCTTTGTGTTGCGAGACTCTTCTGCTGCTGCTAAGAAGAGTGGTGTTGAAAAATGAGCTGTAAGGAGCACGAAGGGAGCCCTGCAAAATACATGGTGTGCTAAGCAGAGGCGATAGGATGCGGTCGGGTCCATTTGCCTCCACATTAACTGCTTTGGAAATAAACAGCAAGCCTTAATTTCGTGTTGGAAGCTAACCTGGTTCAGGACTTCTTTGACGTAGCTGGATAATGAAGGGAATTAGAAAAGCAATGTGGAAAACGCATCTTTTACCCAATAAAATTGAAAACTGGGATGGAAGTTCTCTTTGGTAACAACAACAACAGCAAGGGAAATTAAATGACAGCAGCCTTCTTTTGTGTTGGGGAGCCTCTGCCATGCTTCGCAGAGAGCTACTTAACCAGAACACGCTTACTGTTCCATTTAATTAATGCGCATTAATGCCTTTCACCTGAGGGTTGAACACTGCCTGGCACGCAGAACTGCCACCCTCCTAGAAGCCCACGGGGAGGCACACAGGGAGACTAATTCAGGTCATTCTTCACGTAGTATTTGGTCAGCGTGACGTTCTGGAGGTCACTCAGATCTGCCCAGCCTGCTTCCAGCACCAAACACGGAGTGGAAGTGGTGTTTCAAAGTAGCTGAGTGCTTTCAACAGCAAGGAAGGGCTTCTGGTTCACTGCCAGGTCTAATGAAGGGACTCCATCTTCCTTTTGCTTGCTGCATTTTTCAGCAAGTTTAATTTGACCGTCAAACAAAAGGGAAGCAAAAAGTAAATACATTAAAAAAAGAAAACAAATCAGCAGGCCTTCTGCAAGTGCCTGCAGTGCGCTAGGATCCAGTGGTCCTAAGCAAAGAGTCTGCCGCTCCTTCGATCAGCTCTCCTGTTTTCAGAAATCCCGTGCTGTAGATGTGCAGCTTCACCTCTATCAAAGCAGGCAGCAGACAGACATGAAATCAGAAAGGAAGATCCCCAGAGTTGCACAGCAGCACCAGTTGCTGGTCTGTCTCTGCTCATTTTACACAAAGGATGCTCTGCAGCCTTTGACAAAAAATGGTGATGGATGCTCTGTGCATCCCAAAGTCTGCAACCCATTTCTATCAGACGGTTTGAGGAGGACTGCAAATAATCCTCATGCTTTGTGCCAGGCACAAACACCCAAGAAGGATTTAAGGACATTCCTAGGAAGTCGCAGTCCTGCTGCAGGTGTCTGCACCTCTCAGGAGCAGCTGCTGCTAGCCATAACCAGAGTGCAGGCGCAGTTTGGGCCTCACTCACCACCCAGGAAGCTTTCAGCGGTGATGCTTTGCTTGTGCTCAGAGCCTCCTGCTGTGGCTGCTGCCAGAAGAACTGCTGAGTTGCTGTTTGCAGGTGCTGTGCTGGCGCCAGGTGAACTCCCTGCAGACTGAACAGATGTGCTTGAGTCCACAGCTGGCAAGGCTGACACTTAAAGCTGTGTCCTGGCTTGCTCCCGTAGCATCTAACAGAAACTCTGTGTTCTCATGCTGGAATGGGAGGGAAGATTGAGGTTGGATGTCAGAGTGTGAGAGTGACGAGGTGCTGGAACAGCTGCCCAGAGAGGCTGTGGATGCCCCGTCCCTGGAGGTGTTCAAGGCCAGGTTGGATGGGGCCCTGGGCAGCCTGGGCTGCTATGAAATGTGGAGGTTGGTGGCCCTGCGTGTGGCAGGGGGTTGGAGCTTCTGATCCTTGAGGTCCCTTCCAACCCGGGACATTCTGTGATTCTGCGAATGAGCAGCAATCCTTCAACCCAAAGAGTGGGTGTGGAGTAAAACCGATCCAAAATCCCCACCAGGCGTGCTTGGCACTGGAATGGATCAGCAGAGCTCAGCTGCTCTGCTTCTAGTAGTCATCATCTTCTGTCACTGCAATTCCGTGTTGCCTCGTGTCTGAAATGGTACAGAGTCAGCTCAGAGGATTCTCTCCTGCACAAAGACTGGCACTGCTGAACTCCCCACTAAGAACTCCTTGTGAGCCACTGGCACTCCTGTCTTTCTGTGTTCCTTAACTGGAGACGCTGAAGCCAACTTGCTATGTGCCTGGTGGATTCACTGAGGTGGATTAAGAAAGCTCTGATGCAATAAATTGGAAGTTCATTTGCTGAGACACCACTACTGGTATGGGAGCGCTATGAGAAGTCACAGGGAGAATGTCCATAGCAGGTGGACTGCTGAGATGCTGCTGGTGCACAAGGCTTTCTTAAAAAAATGGAGAAAAAATGAGAAAACAAAGCAGCAGCACAAAAAATGCCCAAAGGCTTTAAAGGCAGATGGAACTGAAGTACAACAGCGCTTCAGTATGAAGTACAGCACAAAGGCAGGCTGTGAGGTGCCCACCCCTGGAGGTGCCCCAGTGGCTTCAGTCCTCCTGATCAAGGCCTTGGAGCACAGCAGCATCGTGGCTTCCTTCCCTTACATCAACCTTTTCTTCCCCTCTGCCCGTGCATCACTTCATAAGAGCCACCACTGCAGGCAGCACAGCAGAGCAGGGCACAAATGATTTTCCAAAGCAGAGCAGGCAGAACAAACACCGAGCTGTACGCCTGTCCTATGGAACAGAGTTGGAATTGCACTACACTGTAAAGAACACAAACTGGACACAATAGCAGCCTCCACCAGTCCAGAGGAATCTAATGGAAATGGAAAGCTTCCTTCCTGCCACCATGCATCCATGGCATACAGCTTAGCATACCCTGGTGTTTTCAGAATGGTGTCTGCTCGAGCAAAGAGAAGCAGCAGCCAGACTGTGCACTCACTGTAGTTTATTTAGAAGTACCAACCAACATTCAGTAGATGGCAAAGGCTGAAACCCGATGAATTCGGTTAAATACAAAAGAGTGCAGCACAACCTGCTAACAAACACCACCGAGTGCCAGCCGGCAGCTCCTCGCGCACAGACCCCTCCCGCCCAGCACATGGCAGCAGTGCTTCTATCGCACAAAGTGCAGACACTGAGATGCGTCCCTTGGAGCCTTCAGCTAAGATTCGCTCTTTTCCATCCTCGCCTTGTACTGTCTCTCAGATCGCTTCCTTCGGTAAACGTCATCTGTGCCAGAAAAAGGCTTCGTAAGCTCTTCCAAGAGGAGCACGACCCCGATCCTGCCCCGGCTCGGCCGGGCTGAAGGGACCTCACAGCGCAGCCCCACCGCTGCCCGCAGCCCAGGCTGCTCCCGCGCTCCGGTCACTCACAGAACGTCTCCTTGCCGATGCGGACGTTGATCATGAACCATTCCATGGCCCCGCCGAGGACGAAGAAGAAGGGCAGCAGGCGGTACGCGCCGAACCGCTCCCGGCCCGGCACCAACCGCAGCAGGCGCCGCAGCCGGCGGCTGATCAGCATGGCCGGGTCACCTAGCAAACAGGAGGGGAGCGCGGGGCGATGCGTGAAGGTCAGCGGGAAGCCGGCCGGGACGGCGCCCTGCTCTGCCGCCTCCGGCCCGCCGAAGGCCGCAGCCAATCAGCGCGGCGCGACCCCGCGCCCCTCACCTCCTCGGGACGGCGGGCCGGAAGGACGCGCTCGGCGTCACGTGACAAGCGGCGTGCCAGCGCCCGTTTCCGATTGGCCGCGGCGGCTCCGGGGGCGGGGCCGCGCCGGGAGGCCACCGCCCGCCCCGCCCCGCCCCTCCCGGCGCCGCCCCGGGGCTCTCGGTCGAGGCGGGGCGCGGCGGCCCAAGCCCGGCCCCCTGGCGCGGCGAGGCGGGGATTGGCCGCCCGTTCGGTGCCGCCGCCGCGGGCGGCCGGGGCTGGCTTCGTAGCGCGATCAGCGCCGCTTCGGCCCCGGCTGTGCCTCGAGGCTGCTCCGTCCGTCCGTCCGTCCGGGCCATGGCGGCGCTGAGCATCTCGGCGCTGCGGAGGGGCGGCGGTGCGGCTCCCCGGCTCCTCGCCGTCGCCGTGTCGTGCCAAGGCTGCCGCCCCAGGAGCGGCCCCGGCCCCGCGGACGGCGGCCACGGCCAGCCCCGGGAGCCGCTGCCCGGCGGCAGAGCGCGGCGCGGCGCCGAGCCCGGCCCCGCAGCGGGCGGCCAGCCAGCCCCGTCCGAGGGCGCCGACACCCGGAGCTACCTGTGGGCCAGGTACCACGAGATGAAGAAGCTGGTCTATGGTAAGGACCGGCCCTGCTCGTAGCCTTTGTCCGCGCTCTGCCCCGCCGCAGCGTGGCTCCGTGGCGGCGGGAACGTGGCCGTGCGCTCCGTCCGCCCCCTCCGTCTCTCTGTCCCGGCCGGGAGGAAAGCCGTTCGTTTTGCCCCATGTGCCCGTGTGCACAACGGGACCGTGGGCTTTGGGGCTGCGGCGGGTGGATCTCAGCTGCGTTAAGATCCGTAATAACGTGAAACAACAACTTGTGCGCCGTAAGGGCAGGGAACTTTTTTCCTGCAGATTTTTCGGCTCCTGGAGTTCCGAAGGGAGGCAGCGTGGACAGCTAGGAAGCGTCCCTTTGCCATTAAATAGCTCTCTGTTCGCTTTCCTTCTCCAGCCCTTAGATAAACAAAAGCAGTCGGAGGGTCTGGAAGAGCCGTTTTGCGGTTCTGAGATGGGCAGCTTCTGTCACTGCCGCCTCCCCCGGCTCTGGCATAAAGCGTGAAGCCCTCGGTGAGCCTCGGAAGAGGAGTTGGCCGCAGGGTGTGCGCTCCTGGTCCCAGCACAGCACCTCCAGAGCTGGATGCGAAATGGGGATGGGTGAGGGTTGGAGGCACAATTGGCCCACCTTGGTTTTTGTTGATGGTGGGACAACGGGTCTGAGTTGGGCCTTTGTTCTCTGTAAGAGTGGTGTTAAAGAAAACGGCTGTGGCTGTGCCATGGGCATCACCCATAAGGAATACATCCTCTGCTTCATGTGCTGCCTTCTCCCC